GCTAGCTAGTATATAGCTGTATTAAATATATTTATTTATAGTAGAGTAATTCGGAATATTTAGCCTTAGTAGCGTGGTTAGGTGGGCTACTAGCTTATGCGGGCTACTAACTTATAGATTACGTTATCTATATTTCTATATATTATTAATTAAGTTAACTAGGTTAAAGGCTATAAAAATAGTAATATAAAGCAAGAAGTATAGTATCTAAAAAGGCGTTAGATAGGAAAATTACTGTATTAAATAAGCAGTTTATATTATTCTATTGATTTTTAGCTAGCTTAGGTTTTTATTAAAATACTTAAATATTTTTAGTTATCCTACTTTTTTTAGTGCTGTTAGCGCTAGCCCTAGTTTTATACTACTTTTGCATATATTATTATTAGCAGCTTTTTTTTTCCTAGACTAGGTTAAAGTTATATATACTTCTAGTAGGGCCTAAAGCGTATATAAGCTCGGCCTCTTATTAGTATTATATTAGTATAGTATTACCTACTTTTTTAATATAGCCTATAGCTAGGCCCCTTTTCTTATACTATATTTAGTACTATATACTAGGTAGTTTTTCTTATAGTTAGCGCACTTTTTAGTATTTATTACTATATATTATCTTATATTATATTCCCCTATATATACTATATATTAGATATTTTTTTTACAGTATTTTATAATATACCTATAGCCCTGGTATCTAAAGTACTATATAGCTATAAAGCCTACTTTATATTTTAAGGCTATTAGTAATTATCTACTTATTATAAATTCTTTTATAATAGCTTTATTTACTATTACTTCTATACGCACGCTAGTAATAATTAAGCTAGCGTGTTAGCCTAGGTTTTCTTGCGCAGCTTTAATACCCTTTTTATTCTTTTATATTATTTTCTTAATAACTAGGCCTAGGTTAATTATTGCGTTAGCCCTAATAATATTATTTTTAAGTATTTAGCTTTCTAGGTCTAAGTTTTTAGGTATTCTATATACCTTTATTAGCACTGCAGGCAGTTATATATATACTATTTTACCTAGCACCTACACCTATTTCCTTTTTTTAAGCAGTGCTTTTTTTATAGCCTTATCTATAATATATACTTTAATATCTCTACTTTATAGCTTTTTTATACTGCTAATTTTTATTATATCTAGTAGTCCGGCTACTTAAAGCTTTTAGGTAATAGTTATATTTATATCTACTATAGTTATAGTTTACTTATTATTATTCTTAATATAGATAGTAATTTTATAGATATTTATAGATTACCCTATATACTGCCTATTTCCTACTACTTTCCTATATTACGCAGCTATACTGCTTAGTATAGCTAATAGTATTATACCTACTGCTGCTGCTACTGCTACTACTGCAGTATATATCTTCCTATATATTAATAATATATATACCTTTTTTTTCGTGTTTTCTATTATTTTTATTAGCTTTTTCTATAGTATTTACTATAGGTTATTTATAGTATCTAAAAGGCCGAATAAAACGCGTTTTATAAAGTTATAAAGGGTTTAGACAATTATATTTATTTTAAGGAATTAGATTAGCTTATTCTATAGAAGGTTTTATATACTATATACTTTATTAATAAGGTTTTAGACGTTTTAGTAAACGTTTTTAATAGGCTTCGGGTTTTAGTATTAGTTTTAGCGTTGTTATTATTATTATTATTAATGCTATTACTAGGACGGCTATATATTAAAGGTTATAATTCGCGGTATACCTACTATAATACCGCCGGCACTATTTATAGAGCTTTAAGGCTGCGTATAATTGTTTATAAAGCTTTAAATAGCCCCTAGAAGCCTTTTTTAGGTTATATTTCTAAAATACTATAGAGTTAATTATATTATATTTACTATAGCTATTAAATATCTTTTTCTTTACTTTTCTAGCTATATAATATAATAATAAATTAGTAAAGTTCTAGCTATAAAATAAGGGCTATATAAAATTTATAAAAAGGAACTTTTTCTAGGTATTTTAGGCAGTATAAAAGCTTATAATAATACTAGAAAATATAGTTTTAGGCTTTAAAAAAACTAGTATATACCTATTTAAGCCGGAAAAGGTTTTAAAGTAAATTAGAAAAAGGTATAATAATAATACTAAAGTAGAAGCTTCTATACCTAAATTTAGCGCAGAAATATTCTACTAAGCTATAGAAAGGATTTTAAAAAAGGTACTAAGCTAAAATAACTATATATTTATATACTAGGTGCGTAAAATAGAGGTATAGCTTAAGCTTATAGAAATATAAAATAAAAACCTCTATAAAGGCTTTAAAAAGGAGAAGAAAAAAAGGTAGAAGTAATAGCCTTTTTTTAAGGCTTTTACACGTGTAGAAGATAGATTTATAATTATATATAGCTCTAATAAGGTATAGTAAGTATATAATTTTAGAAAAAAGAAAAAAAAGAAAAAGTAATAAATTCTAAATACTAAGTAGGATATAAAGCTTTAAAAGGCTATATAGAAAAAGAAATAAAAGGTAGAAAAGCGGTAGAAAGTATCTAAATATTATTAAAAGAAGAAAATATATAAAAAAATAGTAACGTATTCTACTACTAAGCCGGCTAAACTACTAAGCCGGCTACTTTTCCTTAGCATAACCAACACTATATTTACACAGCAATATATTAACAATACAGCAATTATCTATCTTAGTAAAAAGGCAGTATTAATCTCGCGCTTTAAGCCTTTACCTCTAGTTAATTTAGGACTATATAACGCGCTGCAGCAGCCTTTAACGTACGATATTAGCGGCTCTCTAATCGGCTCCACGGAATTATATTTTAACCTTAATTACGACTAAACTGCCTAAAGCTTACTGCAACCGAAAAGCACACGATTATATAATATATCCTTAACCTAGACTTGCAAGGATTTGCGCCCCGGTTGTATAAGGTGGCAGATATAGCAGATAAAGTACTAGCTGCGCGTAGTAGAATACTAGTAGGTAAGAACTGGACTTAACAGTTTATATCTTATATAAAAAAGCTTAAAATAGCTTTTAATTGGGCAAAGAACTGCTAAAGGATACTCCAGGAAAACCTAAAGGTTATTAACACGTGGTTTACTCTTATATAAGAGACTATAGCTAAGTATAGCATCTACCTAGATAATATCTACAACTTTAATAAAACTGGCTTTTAAATAGGTATAATTAGTATAATAAAGGTTGTTACAGGTTTAGAAAGATATATAAGGCCTAATCTTATTTAACTAGGTAACCGAGAGTAGGTTATAGTTATCCAGAGCATCTGCGCTGCCGGATATATAACCCTACTATTTATTATCTATAAAAAACGCGTTTATATCTCTGTATAGTATAAGAAAGCAGAAATACTATATAATTAGAAGCTTTCTATCTCTAAGAACGGCTGGACTAATAATAAGCTTGGTTTTAAGTAGTTAAAGCACTTTAACACGTATATAAAGGCGCGTTAGGTAGGGTTATATAGGTTGCTAATTTTAGACGGCTATAAAAGCCACCTTAACTAAGATTTTAAGGATTATTATATTAAATAACAAATTTTTACCCTCTATATACCTGCGTATTTATTGTATATACTTTAGCTACTTAATATAGTATACTTCTCGCTATTAAAGCTAAAGTACTTTTAACGCATATAAGACTTAGCACGCTAACGCGTCTACTATATCAATAAAAAAGGCTTTCTACTAGCCTTTAAAAACGCGTTTTTTAATATATTTACGTATAAGAACTATAAGAAGGCCTTTAAGGCCTCTAGATTAGTTCCTATTAACGCGCAGGTAGTTCTTAATCGCCTTAATATACGGTTACGGACCCTACTACTAGCACCTTTACTAGAAACACTATAGTAATTAAAAACCCTAAGCAATATATACGAATTTAGATTATAGTTAAGGCTAGTAAGCAATTCCTTTATACGGTTACTAATAACCGCCTAAAAAGGCTTTTTAAAGCTTATTAAAGGAGCTAAAGAAATACTATACGAAAATATACTTATTAAAGCCCGGGTTAAAAAGCTTAAAGAGCAACTAGCAGAGATAACCAAGCGTAAAGGTTGTAAAAGAAAGCGAATCCAGACTGGCGGTATAATAGAGTATAGTACAGCAGCGTTATATATAGCTGCTAAAGTGTCTGGAGCATCTAATCCACGGAAAAAGGTAGGTAGTAGAAATAGTGTAAATAGGGCTCTACTAGCTTAACAGCGCTATAGAAACTATAGAGAGGCTAGGTATAATACGTGTATATATAAAAAGGATTAAAAAGCTTCTTTTAAATCTAATTTAAGTGTGTTGTATATAAGTTCTATAGCTAGTTACGAATAAATTAACTGCGCGCATATAGTGTTGGTTGTGCTAAGGAAAAGTAGCCGGCTCGGTGGTTTAGCCGGCTCGGTGGTGGAATACGTTATATAATATAAAAAAGGTAAAAAAATTAGCTAATAAGGCAGCCAGGGCTATAAAATAGGTAGAAAGGCAGCTGCTAGGAAAAAGCTAAGTAAAAAAGCTACTTATAGCTATATCTATAGTATTAAAAAAGCGAGATTTTATAGTAATAGATAATAAAAAGGATAATAATATACCGGAGCTTTTAGGCCGAGCTATACGTGTATAAAAACGCTTTAAGGTACTTAATAACTATAAGGTTATAATAGAGTAAAAGAGCGGGTTTAGTTACCTTAACTTTAAGCTTATAGGCTTATATAAAAAGTTATATTATATTAAAAAGCTTTATTATATATTATACGTGATTTTTAGTAATATATATATAAGCCTATTACGTGCACGAGCCGGTGGCGCCTTCTACCTTACTAGCGCCTTTTTCCTTTTACTACCTAGATCTACTCCCTTGCCCTAGTGTATAGTCCCTACTGCTATTATATTTCTCGGAATATTAAGCTAGATATATAAGGCCTTTGCTTTCCTTCTAGGATATCTTATTCGTTTTAACCTACTTCCTTACTAGCCTTACTCGACGGCTTATAACCGATTATTATCGACTATGCCGGGATTAAGGACACTGTATGCTTTAACCGCTACCCAGGTGCATGAATTGGTTAAGAATAACACCATTACTACCGAGGAATACGTTCGGTCTCTCTTGGGCCGCATTAAGGAGAGGGACAGCACGGTGAAGGCGTGGGCGTATCTCGGTAAGCTTGGCTCTTCTCATCAACCTGCAGTTGAGGCGGATCTACGCTGACATTAACTTAGATCCGGAGTTTGTCCTGAACCAAGCTCGAGCTCTTAACCAGATTCCCCATGATCAGAGAGGGCCTTTGCACGGAGTGGCAGTAGGCATCAAAGATGTGATGAATACCAAAGGTATCAGGCGGAAGTTTAGTTTCAAGTAACATTACTTATGCATCCTAGATATGCCGACTCAATTTGGGTCTCAACTGTACCAAGGACATCAGCCAGGCTTTGATTCATCAGCTGTCGGCATCTTACGAGCTGCTGGAGCTCTTATCTTCGGTTCGTTGCCCCGCGTGCTCTGCCAATAATATCTAATGCCGTCCGTAGGCAAAACAACCACGACAGAATTCACCGTAGCTAACTCGGGACCCAATACCACGAACCCTCATGATCCGAATCGCACCCCGGGCGGCTCCTCTTGCGGGTCAGCTGCAGCAGTAGCCGATCTGCAAGTACCGCTCAGTCTTGGAGTGCAGACTGGTGGTAGTGTTATTCGCCCAGCATCTTACACTGGAATCTTCGCCTTGAAACCTACCTACAATGCGGTCTCAACTGAAGGCACAAAGACCTTCTCCGCCACCTTTGATACGATCGGCTTCTTTGCCCGCAGTATCGAAGATCTTCAGCTAGTAGCAGATGTCTTTGCAATCAATGACGATGAGCCTCCTAGAGACGTTATGCTGAAAGACGCCTCAGTTGCTTTGATCAAGACTCCAATGTGGCAACAGGCAGGACCTGGCACAGTGGCTGCTTTAAAAAACGCTGTCACCATTCTTCAAAAGAGCGGCGTAAGAGTCGAAGAGATCTCCTTCCCAACGGAAATCGGTGATGGCGATGGCGAAGCACTGAAGCGGACGCTGAAATTGACTACTAGTGGTGAGGCTGGACCAGCGTTTCTTAGGGAATATCGTGTGGACAAGACAAAGATAGGTCCACAAATTCGTCGTCTTGTCGAAAACCACAACAACTTCACCCACGCATAAAGAATCCAAGCTCTCGACAAATTAGCTAGCATGCGGGCCTTCGTGGACACGATAGCCGCAAATTACTCGGCCATTATTACACCTAGCGCCATTGACGAGGCTCCGGAAGGGCTTGACGATATGGGCAGCCCGATTTTCAATACTCTCTGGACCGCAAGTGCTTCACCACTTATTATTCATTTGTTCTCGCTAACTTAGTGCAGGGATTTCATGTGCCTGTTATTAACATGCCCGCATTTACCGGAGCCCCTGGGATGCCTATCGGCATATCTCTCGTAGCAGGTAGATTCTGCGATCAACACCTTTTGAGAATCAGCAAAGCCCTCGGTAAGCCTCTTATGGCCGAAGGCGGCTGGAAGGTAAAGCTCTAGGTGTGCTGGTAACAAGGGGACGCTCGTTCCAAGTTTCGATAGTCATACCTCCATGAAGATTGTCACATGTGTTGGAAGTAGCTTGCCTTGGCAAGCTAGTGTTCCAAACATAAGAGAATTAGGCCTAGTATAGGTCACGGGCTGTATATATGGATTACCTCACTCCCTCCTCCTGGAGTCAATCAATCAGCTCAGTATACCTTTCAACAACATGGACTTAGACTTGGACGTAGATGCTAACGGAGGCAGCGTGGCCAATAATCTGTCCAATCCTCAATCCGTCCATCGGCCGGCCGAGTAGGCCGGCCCTTCTCTCACCACTCCAATCAATCTGCTAGCTAATTAGGTATCAATCGGGCTCTCAATCGGATTGGCCCGATTGATTTCACGCATGAGGATATATTAAATATTTTCCCGTGCTTCTTAAATTTCAAGAGCCGAAGGAAATGAGGAATGACATAGGATGGAGATATTAGGAATCGTGGTACGCCAATCACACGTGGGAACTACTAGGACGAAGCTAGATGCTGCGTAAGAATGACATTAAGGAGAAATCACCTCCATTAGCCGATCCACGACACCTAGACCTTTTCATTCTAGACCAAACCTGTCCCACCTCTCCAGAACCTTCTCCTTGACATCCTCCGGATACCCGTTCGCAAAATCACATGTAACCCAGTTCTGCTCCATCTCGTATTCCAATGGCAGCAAGCAATTTCCAACAACTTTCCCGCCCGTAAGCTTCGTCCCAGGGCCATGCGACATGTACGGAACGAGCGGATACGCATCCACATCCGCAAAATGAAATTCATCCATCGATGGCCGGCAGCGAGTCGCAAATGCCCACATGACATCGTTGAAGTTGAAGGGATTGATGTCATCTCCAACGACGAGCAAGCGGTGGACTGCATCCCGCACTTATTCCGGAAGACAAGGTTCCCGATCTTGTTGCAAAGCTCTGCCGCGTTCGTACGGAGAGCACGTAGGGCGGCACGATCAACTTGGATAGCGGCCTAGATGACTTGCGATTCGTGCAAGGTGAAGACTTGCTTGACTGGGAGACCGTTGTCCTGCAACAACTGCCTGATCTTTGCGGAGGCCAAGGTGCCGATCATGGTGTGAGTTTCGTCTGGTCCGGTTGCTCTCCCGGGCACAGAAAGGGGAAGAATGGCATTCTCGCGATGCGTGATAGCGTTGACCTTGTAGAGAGGCTGGTCCAATTCTTCGTCCAGGAAGCTATATCCGTGCATCTCCCCGAAAAGTCCCTCTTTGCCTCGATCTGTCACTGAAATTGTTCCTTCGAGGACAATCTCGCTGTTTGCAGGAACATAAATGTCATTCGTCTCGCATTTCACCAACTCAAGCGGCGAGCCACAAAGTGATCCAACGTACTCCGCCTCAGTCACACCCGCCGGAAGCGGCATACTCGCTGCCATTACTGCAATCGGCGGAGCACCTAGCGCAATCGCATACGGCACATCTTTACCCGTCTTCTGCTACTGTTCGAAGATTCTAGCGATATGCTGAGGCTTCATGATGAGACCTGCCATACGGTTCTTGTCGTGGATCATCGCGCGTGCGATTGACCAGTTCGTCCATGGTTCCGTTAGATGCTGTACGATGTTGATACCTAGAGTTTGGATGTAGTCGCCCCCGTCAGCCTTATTCAGCAGTGGAACGGGGAGTTTCGTGAGATCCACGTCCTCTCCCAAGATTTTCCTTTCTTTGCAGGGGCCGGTGCTGACATGGATAGGTGGTATCGGTGCGGTCTTTTTCGCGGATAACATCCGGTCAATGATGTCTTCAAGGCTGGCAGCTGGGGGAGCCCAATGTGTCGGGCTAGTCGTCGATAGGCATATTGGGGATCGTTAGACAGCCCTCCCGATGCTCCCAGAATGCGAAAGAGTCCATACTTCGCACCTTTGACGTTATTGAATAGCGGAGTTTTTGCGCGACGTTCGTAGACTCGTCTGGTGATGGCAGCGACTTCGAGATGCGGGTCTACTTCATCATTGATCTCGGCGAGGTCACCGTCTTTCCGGAGTGCGTCAACGAACACCCTGAAATCGAGATGCGAGGAATCCTGGGAGTAAAGCCGAGCGAATCCATGGCCTTGGCCGCGAGTTTTTGATGGAGTTACATGATTCGGACGAGGCCAGAAAGAATGCAGGCCAGCTACAAGTCGATGGGCCATAGCTTCCACACAAATGACACAGCCTAGAGGACAGCAACTACCTACCCAGCGCTGCACGTACTCACAACTGAGCTCCTCGATCTTGATTTTTTTGCAAACGCCTACCGGTTTCAAGGACGGGCTACTTCATATTTCTGAACCCGTAGGCGGGCTTAGCCTAGGTTCCTGATATTAAATCGACGATCTGAATAGGTCAGCACTACAAACCCGCCTGGTCGCTGATTTTGAATTGAGCCGATACCCAAGACTGGCACGCCATTTTCGTGGCTGGCTCGCCTCGCCTTCATTAGGTGGCGCTGACTGAGAGGGGAACCGACGGTTCGGCCAAAGTCACGTGGTGACTAAGAGATGAGTGATTGCTGACTGAAAGGTAGTAACACGCAGCCAATATTCGGAGTGATTTTGGCGACATCATGTTGCGTCCACCAGATCGAGAGCCTCATGCCCAGAGAAGGAGTAAAAAGACGGGTACCTGGGCTATGTGAGCCTTGAAGCGATCGACCGTTCCACGATATCCAAACCAACATCCCTCTCGCGAGACTTCAATCATTCTGCATACCAAATCCGGTTCATGTACAACATGAAAGTTCAAAAGACGTGGAAGATACTTCCCCAAACCCTAAGCTGGAACAGCTCCACGCTGCTTCGCCAAAATATCTCTCTCCATCGGAAAAAAAACGGTCGCCATTTCTCCGCAAACTATTGTAGACTCTCGGTTGACACAAAAGAAACCAGAAGCGATCAGCCAAACCAAGAGAGAAGTTCAACGCCTATAACACCACGTCCCCGTCGCAAGCGCATCGTGGTGGCGGTGATAGATGCAACCGGGGCACCGGTCGCTACCTCACTTCTGCTCCATCTCAAGAAGCTGGGCGTAGAATCGCACTTGATTCTCTCCACCTGGGGCTCGGCGACTCTGAAATACGAGCTGGAAGCACCAAATAACACCGCCGCCTACCTAGCATCGTTGGCCCACCACTCGTATTCTCCCCGAGATGTCTCTGCTTCTCTTTCATCCGGATCCTTTCGAACGGATGGAATGATGGTCGCGCCGTGCAGCATGAAGACGTTGGCCGGCATCAGGATGGGCTATGACAATGATTTGATCACGAAATCAGCCGGCGTAACGCTGAAAGAACGACCGAGGCTCGTTCTTGTGGCTAGGGAAACTCCATTAAGCAGCATTCATCTTGAGAATATGCTTAAAGTTACCAGAGCAGGGGCGGTCGTATTTCCACCCATGATGACATTTTACACAAGGCCCAAGGCGGTGCAGGATCTGGTGGAGCAGAGTGTGCGACGGATGATCGATCTCTTAGACTTGGGTATCGAAGAACGCGATGAAGCGGATGGATATGGGAGATGGAACAGATTTGAGTGAGAAGAAGAGTGATGAACGATGAGAATAAAATATAACCATTGCTGTTCACGTGATCCGCGACGACGCCATGGCTTCCACACGGGCGTACTTCCTCGCCAGCACCCATTAACTCGCAAGCTGCATCAACTGACATATAAATGAACTCATCTACAAGCTAGCCTTCTCTATTGCCTCATCCTGCGCGTCGCATTGCGAGACCTCGAACCTGCGATTCCAGGCCTGCGTCAACCATCAAGACGCGTTATCTTCACCACCTGCCGTTCGAAGCCTCTAAGCCCTCCCCCCTGAAACTCGACATCCTTTCCCTCTATAATCCTACATCCTATCTAGTGTCCTCATCCTTGCGGCGTTCCTAAACCTCTCCCGGTCCCTCCGCTGACCTCCGTCCAAAACTCCACCCACTCGCCAAGACCGACCTGTACTCGCGATTGTATAGGACTACGAGCGAAATCAAGATGCAGCACTCGCGGACAAGAAACATGTAGTGAAGCTGGCAGAATCCAAGCTGCAGGTTAGGCCTCGCCACCGTAGCTCCATTCCGTGGGCCTAGGCGACGACGTCATACCTAGTGGAGATATACTTGGAGGTACATTTAAGGGAGACCCTTGAGGCTTGCGCACTATGAGTGATTGCGCGAGGCAGCTCTATTTGCTTGGTAGGTAGCAGGGTAGCAGAAAAATACATCGAAGGCCCATAGAACCTTCCCAGCTTGACTAGGCGTGGCCGCTATCGAGCGTCGACGACCTCGCTAGCTCCGCTCTGAGGTGGCCATTTTCGTGGATGCCTCCGAACCACGTGGGTGGATTGAGCTTTCTTATAGGAAGACGCTGCGACCGCAGCCAAGCTGGCCAAGAGCCTCATCTGCTCGCTGCCAAGAGCGGGATTCACGAACGACATACCAATGGTTTGCTGTTTCGCAAAGGAGACTACTCCAAAAAAAACATCGCCGCCATGCACCAAGAACCCAAGTCGGGCTTTTTCTTGGCTGTCCTTTTGGTACGCGAGTTCCGCCTGCCTAGCACCAAGACCATTGCAAAAACCAAAACAAGGGCTGGCTCCAAGAGTACTCCAAGACAGCTCCAAGATCGGTCCAAGAAGCTTTCTAGAGTGGCTGTTTGGTCTTAATCGCGAATCAGACTCAGCGAGGTATGAACGTGGTACGTAGCGTATCTGAAGAATGTAGACTTCTTTCGCCGCGGAATGTCACTGTCGATGCAGGCTGTTGCTGGGCCCCGACGAGCGAACATGCACATAAAAGCTCTCTCTCGCTATCGTTCCCTTACTCTAGTATCCAAGGTCGCTTAATATTCAGCCTCGATTAATACCTCGTTCTTTATTTCACAATGGTGCTCTCCAAATATACCTATGTCTTCGTCATCGGCACGTTCTTTGCCATGCTCGATGCCTACAACAATGGTGCTAGTAAGTAAATCGGACCTCAGGTTGCGGGCTTGGTGTATTGATCGACTTCGTAGACGATGTTGCAAACGCCTGGGCTACGAGTGTCTCTTCGCGATCCATCTCGTACCGACAAGCCATGGTCTTCGGCACAGTATTCGAGATGCTCGGCGCCATCACTGTAGGTGCACGAACGGCTGATACCATCAAGAACGGCATCATTCCAAACTCCGCTTTCAAGGGCGACGCCGGTGTGCAAATGCTTGCGTTCACCTGTGCGCTCGCAGCTGCTTCCTCCTGGGTCATGTGGTGTACTAAACACTCCGCTCACGTCTCATCAACATATTCCCTCATCTCAGCAGTCGCTGGTGTCGGCGTTGCAACTGTCGGAGCCTCCCAAGTCCAATGGGTATGCCTATCGAGTTCCAGTGCCTGATAGAACTTCTAACGCCATCTCAGGGCTGGAATAATGGCAAAGGAATGGGTGCCATCTTCGCGGGATTAGGCATGGCTCCTGTGATCTCTGCTGGCTTCGCCGCAACCATCTTCATGCTCATCAAGATCGTGGTCCACCTTCGCAAGAACCCCGTCCCATGGGCCGTCTATACCGCACCCTTCTGGTTTCTCATCGCTGGTACCATCTGCACGCTTTCCATCGTCTACAAAGGGTCTCCTAACCTCAAATTGAACAAAAAGCCAGGATGGTACGTTGCCTCCGTCACTATGGGCACAGGCGCTGGCGTCTGTGTCCTGTCGGCCATCTTCTTTGTGCCCTTCATCTACGCAAGGATCATCAAGAAGGACTACACCGTCAAGTGGTACATGTTCCTCATGGGCCCTCTGCTCCTTACACGGCAAACCCCTGCCGATGCTCAAGAGGCCAAGGTCCCCAACTACGCCGTCATCCAGGAGGACGACGATCTGTCTAACCCCACATCCCTCAGCGACTACGACCCCAAATCCGAGGGCAAAGATGCCATCGCCCCACCTGTCGATCAGGAGAAGATTGCCGTCGCTGCTGAGAGTAAACAACTGGCCTACAAGACGCAGCCCACATATAAAGAGCTCATGGCCGCGGGCGACGACAAGCTACGCCAGAAGCTCTTGAAGAAGCGCGGTCCCCTTGGTTGGGCTATGCGCACACTCCGCGACAACCCTATGGGCGCTGGCGAGCTTTACGAGTTCCACAACATGAAGATTGTCGCCAAGCGCATCCCCGCCTACGTTGTTTGCGGCGCGCTCTATGGTCTTCACTATGATATTCACGCTGCTCAGACTGGCCACTCTGGCACCCCAGAGGGTGATCGCATGGCGCGAGTCTACTCACACGCAAAGAAGTACCCCAACGAAGTGGAGCATACCTACTCTTTCGTCCAGGTCCTCACTGCTTGCACCGCATCTTTCGCGCACGGTGCCAACGACATTGGAAACTCGGTCGGTCCCTGGGCGGTCATCTACGGAGCATGGTCTACTGGAAGTGCCGCTGCTGCCAAGGCTCCAGTACCCATCTGGCAACTCGCTGTTCTCTCTTTGGTCATCTCGTTAGGCCTGATCACCTATGGTTACAACATCATGAAGGGTGAGTAGAGCTCCACGCCATTGTCTGAGGCTTTCGCTAATTCAACTTGCGAACAGTCATGGGTAACAAAATCACATACCACTCGCCAAGTAGAGGTTGCTCGATGGAGATGGGCGCCGCTATCACTGTCCTCCTGTTCTCTCAGTTCTCTCTCCCCGTCTCAACCTCGATGTGTATTACGGGAGCTACCGTCGGTGTAGGCCTTTGCAACGGCACCTTGAAGGCAGTCAACTGGCAGCGAGTTGGTCTCCTTCTCCTCGCCTGGCTTCTCACAATCCCTATCGCTGGTACCCTCGGAGGCGTTACCATGGGTCTATTCCTCAATGCTCCTCACTTCTCTTCCTAGCGCGTGTCTTCAAGATGTTCTGAGGCCAAATCAGCAGTTCTTATTACAAGCTACATCCTCGGTCTAGCTTTTCAAGCAGTAGCATCATGATCAGGCGTCACGTTAGAGACTGAAGGAGGACGGTCAATTTTACATATATTACTATTTCATCTAGCTTGCAATTCAAGGGGGGAGACTTTCTCTCCAATCCCCACTCCTACAACATCATTATGAAGGCCCAAAATCATATCTTTATCGCCGTCTCCGTCGTTAATTTCTAGGTTCGATCCGACCAAGTCCTCCGCGATCCCTCTTTTCTACCACCTCCATCCTCTACGGCACGAAAACAATCCTAAATCCACCACTCTCGCCCCTAACTCCACCAATCTCACCCCAAGTCTTTTCAACCTCACTCAACGGCACTACCTTCACGGGCTGCTCCTCCATCGCCGGCATCGCCTTTAACAACTCCGGCAACTCCTTCCCCATCTCCTTAAACGACCACGCACCGGGTCCCGACCCCCTTATCGTCAGATTCTTACTCCGCAACACACTCCCCGGCAAACTAACCTCTAACGCATCCAGTGACCCAATATGCACATACTGCACCGGCCGCGCACTCTTCAAGCTCTTAAACAAATGCAACGCCGGCGCGCCATAGATATAATCAAGCACAACATCCACATCCCCCAGCGTCCCAAAATCAGTCTCGGTCACGGGATCACGCAGCGCAATCGCCTCATCCAGCCCCAACGTCGCGAGCTTCGCCGCATTCCGCGCAACCCCAATGACCCTCCCCGCGCCCAGCGCCCGCGCGACCTCGATCGCGATCCCACCCGACGCGCTCGTCGCGCCCATGATCAGCACCGTGAAACCCGCCGGCAGCGCCTCGCCCCCCATGCGCGCGCGCAGCGCCATCCACGAACTCAGCGCGGGGTTGACCATCGCGGCGGCTTGGACCGTGTCGACGGCGTCGGGGACGGGCGTGACGGCGTGCGCGGGCACGGACACGATGTCGGCGAAGGAGCCGCCGGTCGCGAAGGTGGAGAAGTAGACGCGCTGGCCGGTGGTGAGGAGGGTACCGATGCCGTCGGTGCCGGGCGTGTGCGGCAGGGTTTTGGAGCTGTAGTGGGTGCCGGCGGCGCGGGAGCGCACGAGGCGGTGCAGGCCGGCTGCGAGGACTTTAATCTGGACGGTGTCGGGGGTGCTGGGGGGTTCTGGGATGGAGACATAGACTGGGGGAGAGCCCCAGGCGGGGACTTGGGCGGCGTGCATGGTGGTGGTGGGGGAGTTGGGGATGGGTTGGGTGGTTGATGATGGGAGGGGGTGTGATGAGGTAGGAGAATCTGGATATTGGTGGATGAGATTAATTGGAATTGACGCGGGCGTGGGAATATATATATATATCTCGTGTTGGTGTCCCTTTGTGCACTCGATGTACGAGGTGGCAAGGCTTGGCGGGGTAAACTCGACGAGCTAGGTAGGCAATCAGGCAGCAAAGCCGCTAGATTGTGAGTCTTTACTGTGAAGCAGAGTTTTGCGTACTGTGCGGAAGAGCCGGATGAACGAGCAGAAAGAACGCGTATGATTTCGGGGCCTATATGATGTCGGGGCCTATATGCATGAGTCAAAAGCGTTTCGGGGCCGAAGCGCGAGTTATCGAAGAACCAAGGACCCTAAATTCATCGCAACTGATTTTCAAAAATCCTACCCGGAGCCGAACACACTTCCAATCGACGAAATTCTCCAGGTAAGAACTCAGGTTGAAGAGCCTACACCTCGACCGCCCGCAATCCCTATTCCTAGTATATCAGCCATCACTCGTCAGCCTTCTCTTTCGGCTCCTTCGCAACCCCCCATCCCTGATATATATCCCACCACATCCTCACCGCAAACGCGCCCTGGCCTACCGCATCCAAGCTATACCACGGCAATGCAGGCCACCCCCTATCCTCACGCGCAATCTTCTCGTCACCTCGGAGCCAAGGCAGCAGCAGCCCTAGCCCATAGGTGAGCCCGAGAAGAAACGACGCCGCTATGTAATTCCCGGCGCTCAGGTGTTTGTTGTATGGAGATGTGATGTGCGTCGGTATGTAGGGCCACAGGAAGACGACCCAGACGAAGACAGCCGAGGTGGCGAGCGGGATGAGGGAGGCGGTTGGGAAGGCGTATGGGTAGAAGCCGATGACGAAGAGGTGCATCATAAAGCAGAGGGAGGTGGGGGAGTCGGGGCGGAAGCGGAGGCCGGGCGTAGAGTAGTCGCTCGGGGTCCGCCAGACGGTGCGTGCTGGGGGCGTTGTTTTGCTGGTTGGGTCTGAGTAGGATCGCGCGGAGGGGACGACGGGGTTGGACATGGCTCTGGGCGGGTGTTGGGTTTGAGCGTTAGGCATCGTAGCAAAGGAGTAGTGCTGGGTGGTGAAGGGGAGGCGAGTCGTGGTTGAGGGCCGAGGCGATGATATTTGTACACGCGACGCGATTGTGCACAGCTTCACTAGGCTCCGACAGCAATGGGTTTGGGCGCTTTGGAAGCTATTGTTAGCCCACGTGGGCTAGAAATACAAGGTTGGGAGCCCCCAAACGTAAGATGCAAGGGCGTTAAGTGTTGGAAAGGGGCCAAAAGCATGGGAAAGAGACGCAGCAACGCGTAAAAGGACAACGGGCTCGCGGATCCGGCTCAAATTGGATTAGATAAGGCGGGGCTGAAACTCGGGGGGCCAATACAGCATCTCTTCACGTCCGGTGAACATAGCGCTAAACTGAGTCAATCCTGGTATACCTCTTTTCTGGGCTAGTACTTAACCAGCTTGAGGATTGATTGGCTAGAACGTTGCTATTCACCCCTAAAGGCGTCCGGAGTTGCTCCCTTATACGGTAAGTCTGTGGCTTGATATTAGAGAGTGACCACCGGACGTAAAGAGATGCTGTATATCAGGTGTGGCTAGGTATGCGCTCTGCAAATGATTGCCTGCGCCACATCTCCGAAAGCCTCCCCAGGTTCCATTTCAGCATATCCGCCAATGCAACAGCTCAGCACGGTGATTCAGAGCACTACGTGTAAATCATGATTCGGCTTTGATTCAGTAGGCTCCAGCTCAATCATGGTGGTCCAAATGTAACAAGTTCGGGATGTGTTGATAGGCGTGGGCGTAATCTGTAGTGGTGGAGAAGATATCCGAGTAGGGAGTTTGTGATGTTACTCTCGGTAGGAAGGTTTTGCACTGTTCTCCATTCCGTCCGGACCTACAGGCTCTGCCTACGTCCGGTGACCCAGCGCTAAAATCAAGCCACAAAATTACCGTATAAGGTAGAATTTCCGGACGCCTCTAGGAGGGAATAGCAGTCTCATAGCCAATCAGTATTCCGGCTAGTTTCGCATTAGCCCAGAAAAGGAGGTTGACCATGGTCGACTCAGTTTCCGCGCTAGGTCGTCCGACGTAAAGAGAGCCTGTAGGTGGTAGGCAATCTTCGTCCATTATCCATCATCAATATCATCAACATCATCTTCATAACCACCGATCGTACATCCAAATCGAAGTCTGGTTACACGAATAGCATCGTATATACGCAAAATACGGTAGTAGCACATATACAGAGCTCATGTGCTGCAGTCGTCACGTGCTGCAGCCGTCACGTGCTGCAGTCGTCACCAGCTGCGTTCATCGTGGACTAGTGCTGACGCATGCGACGAAGTATAATGCATTGAGTTAAAACGCTCCTGCACGTGTAGATCTGATGGCCTATAGGGACTAGCCGTAGTCCGGGATCTCATTCCGTAGGTTGCCCATAAGCTGAAGATTTCGGCTCACGTTTAGCCTCTCTTCCAGCCTTGAGATCAGCAGGCATCCACGACATCAACCCCAGGAGAAATCCAACCATCATGCCTATAGAGAAAACCCATCTCCACAAGATAATTCCAGAGCCCGGAGGTCTTCCGAATGCCAAAAATGATGCCTCTCGTGCTTTCGAAGTCCTCAAAGCAGGTGGGGTCGTCATCGCGCCCACAGAAGTTGGCTACGGACTCCTAGCCGCCTCCACCGAAGCTGTCCAGAAAGCCTTCGCTGCAAAGAAACGCAAGCCAGGACATGCTCAAGGTGTCATTGGTACCTACCAGCTTCATCGGGAGCTGCATATCCTCGACGAGAAGCGATTTGAGATGACTCGAGTCCTTACCCACGATTTGGACATGTCTTTTGGCGTTGTCGCTCCTTTCCGAGCAGACCATCCGCGTCTGCGGCAGCTTACCTCGGAGACATTGGCAAATTGCACCAAGAACGAGACGCTTGGCATGTTCGTCGGAGGCGGTTCTTTTCTCCTCGAACTGGGGAGACTCAACGATGAAGATGGCCAGATCATGCTTGGTTCCAGTGCCAACCTCACCGGTCGTGGTCAGAAGTTCCGCGTTGAAGATATTGAGAATGAGATCAAAGAAGCGGCAGATTTGATCGTGGACTACGGCTTGCAAAGATATTACACGTATGGTCGAGCGTCTATTAACTTTGATTTCGGTAATATGAAAGTCTTGCGGATGGGATCTTGCTACGAGCTCTTCAGAGAACGGATGGCTAAGTTTTGGGGCGTTAAGCTGCCCGAGGACCCTGATTACAAGACCGGTCCGAAAGAAGAATGAATACATTCCTCCTCTCCTAATTTTCTGCTCGCTCTCAAGCAATCTCCTGCACTTTTGGCCTTCTGCTGTGTAGGAAGTGCAATAACAGCGTCCCAATGATCGCGAAACCCCCGAAAAGAATCAAGATCTGGTATCCATACTGGTATTTGGGTGCATCATACGTCGGGAACAGCGCCACTGGAAATACGTTAATCCCTGACCGCCAATATTGAGGATGGGTAAGCTTACGAGGGAGCCAGGACGAGAAACAGTATGTGAAAATATTGCCCGTGGCGACCAAAAGCTGCCTCAAATTCGGATCGCCGGCGCTCAATTCATGGCCCCAACCCTAGTCTTCAGTCAGCGAGGGAAGTAATGCCTCTGGGGGTGACGCTCACAATAACAATAGGTTGAGCGGCTGCTCCAACATATGACAAGTAGAATGCGAAGAACTTCGCTCCCTTGGAGATGTCCCAGACGGCGAGCAGAATGTTAGAAATCATAACGAGGATCTGAATCGCAACAATGGTGGACCATCGATGCCCGGTGCGGTCCGCCACTATACCAAATGCAAAGGCAGCGACCACGCTGATAGCGCTGCCAGCAGTAGGCAAGGTGTTGATGCGTACGACACTATACTTCTCGGCTTTTAGCCAGAGATTGAAGTAATTCGTCCCTGAACCGGCTTGAGCTACCATTCTGGAAGGCCGTTAATTACTGCAGCTTTGAAGATCATCACAAAACCTACAGGTACGGCAATATGAATGCCCAGAGTCGCCAATTGGTGTATACACCCTTGATAACTCGCAAGGTCAGCTTTTCTGGAGCTTTGCGTCCCAGCTTCTCGATTCTTTCGACGCCGTACTTTTTGTCCTATGCGATCCGTCAGCATCTGATAAGTTCTCCCGAAGAGGTTAGAACTTACGTCCTCGCTCCAGTAAAACGCCTTCGTTGTATGCGGAAGATCAGGAATCGCAAAAAGGCCCCATAGTGCAATCGGGAACGAAATAATTCCATCAAAGATAAACAGCCACCTCCATCCCGCCAAGCCCAATCTTCCGTTCAGTCCCTTATACAACGCCGCCTGCAAGTAGCCACTGAACATCGATGCAATCGCACTCGTCTGCTCAAAGATCGCGACTCTCTTCGTCAATTGCGTTGGTCCGTACCAACCTCCCAGCAACGCCGCATATCCGGGAAATGAGCATGCTTCGGCAAGACCGACGAAGAACCGCAGCACGTAAAGGGTCTTGACATTTTTGGCACCCGCCATAGCCATCACTAGGGCTGTCCAGACGATTTCACAAGCGGGAATCCATATGGAGGGGCGGACGTACTTGAGCTGGATCATTTGGGATGGAATGGTGCCGATGATGATACCGATGTTGAAGTAAGTATTTAGCCAGTTGCGCTCGTTCCCGTAGAGGTGCAGGTCCTCTTTCATCCCGCTAACGAATGCGTTCGTGTAGTTCGTTTGGTCGAGGTACTTGATGAAGTAACCAAAGCAGATGTACGAGCTGCGATGGTCAACATATTTTCATAAGCGATGCGGCTCACAGCGACTTACAACAGGTATGAATCCAGTTTCTGTACATAACGTCGGTCTCTGGGATCACCTTCCACCGAGTCCCAGATCAGTCCCACCGCCTTCCTCCACCACACTACTCTCTGCTTCCCATTGCGCTCTGAGATAGGCGCTTTAGAGGAGTCCACGTCGGAGATAGGTTCCGCAGCTGAACCTGAAATTGGCACTGCTTGGATTGTAACCTCCTTATCCTTAATCTCAGCCATTTTGAGAGCTCTGTAAGCCCGGTTCTACTGACGCGCTTTTCAGAATGCCGGGAGTCCGGCACTTAAAGCTGGCGATAAAGCTATAGCGCTGGACCGCATTCCCATCTCTTATCCCTTTGCAATGCACCGCTATAATTGCGAATCGACTTAGTAGTTTTAGAGCTCGACTTAGTAGCTTCGGGACGTGATAACGAAGGTCTCCATGGTTTAGAACTTGCATACTACGAGTCATTTCTCTTTACGACGGACGAAGGACTTACGTCGGGATATGTATCCGCCCTCTCGACTGGTCCCATTGTTTCGCGAAAACGCCATATCACGATCAATGGTGTAATCAAGATACCTATTTCGGCCCAATCAAAGCGAATGCAACTACTCGCGTAGGGTCTGGTGTTGCGTGTTGACAAGGCTACAGGGTGGGTTAGCGAGGACATGAGCAATACCTCCAGATAAGCTCGCAATAGTAGTTAATAATGTACCAACACCAGGAAGAATGCTTCCGGATTTAAACATGGCAGGATAAGAGAAGGGTGTATGCATTGCACCTCAAGATCTAGGTATACGACTCAATCTGGAATTCGAAAACATGACGACCACTGTAACCCAAACCGAGACTGCCACCCCAAAAGTTGCTCCAATCAGAATCGAGACTTCCGTTAACTACGATGAGGCTCCGGTATACAGCTTCTCTGATATAGTGGTTGAGTTACCCTCGCTAATCTCTCCAGTACAAATACGCCGACTACCTCCCCAATTACATTCCCGGCCTCCAATCACCTCTCGAAGAATTTGAACACCACGACCCCGGATCAAGAGCCGACCCAGCCAAAGCCGCTCTCTTAAATGCCCCTGGAATCACCGTCAATGAGATCACTCCCGCAACTGGCACCGAGATCCACGGGATCCAGCTCAGCGCTCTCACTGACGCGCAAAAAGATGAGCTTGCACTCCTCGCCGCCGAGCGCGGTGTCGTTGTCTTCCGTAATCAGGACTTCGCTGACATAGGACCTGAACGCCAACGCGCTTTCGGCGCGCATTTTGGTCCGCTGCATGTCCATCAGCATGGGGGTCAAGTGAAAAATTTCCCAGAGCTACTGCCCGTGTATCGCGATTTCAAGGCCGGGTCTGTGGACAATGAGATCAAGAACAATGTGAGCAGTATCAAGTGGCATTCGGATATGAGCTATGAGATGTAAGTGCTCAATTTATGGCCGATGCGATTACTAATGTGCTGATGTGCTGCATAGAAATGGCATGGGCACGACGATCTTTTTCTCACTAGAGACGCCGGTTTCTGGGGGTGATACGTTGTATCTATCTACCACAGCGGCGTATAATGCGCTTTCTGAGACGTACAGGACGAGGTTGCATGGTTTAGAGGCCACGCATTCTGGGTTCCAGCAGGCGCAGGTCGCGGAGAATAAGGAGAGGTATATTCGGAAGCCGATTGAGACTGTGCATCCGGTTGTGAGGACGCATCCTGTAAGTTCAGCAGTGTCTAAATCTCAGATTCCAAAGTCCTATGGATTGAGCTTATGGATTCATAGGTAACGAAAACGAATTCGCTCTACGTGAATCGTCTCTATACGCGCAAGATTGTGGGCCTGAAGGAGGAAGAGAGTGCGAGCATTTTAGACTTCCTCTACAATCACATCGAGCATGGTCAAGATTGGCATATCCGCGTTCACTGGACGCCGGGGACAGTTGTGGTTTATGATAATCGCGTGACGCAGCAGTAAGTTATTTGCACTCGGTTTCTGTAGCCTTGTCGCAGGAATGCTGGCTAATGTGGTGAATTTAGTTCCGCTCTACGGGACTTCCAGGTCAAGGAGGGCGAGACGAGGAGGCATATGCTTCGCATTACGCCGCAGGGTGAGCGGCCAAGATTTGAAGGTAGTTGAGGTATGAATAGGGTTTTGCAATCGATGATATCGGAATGGAATAACAAGACAGGTGACGATGCCCTTGAGAATCGTGTGCATGTAAGCCGTGGTGAAGTGCTAAAGTGTCTCTTTGGAGCGCAATCAGTTCCACGCGAACGATTTTCTGTCGCCGCTTGTCTAAGCTTTTGCTCCTCACTTCGATTCTCCGCTAGAGGTTTCCACAGTCACCGTCCAAGCGAACCTCAACTTCTAACGCCCTCGCTGCTTTCGATCTCTCTCGACACTCTTTCTACGTCCTTCATCCTCCGATGTCTCCCTCACACCTTTCAACCTTCCCCGATACTGCTTCTACGCCCTTCATCCTCCAGCCTCTACGACAAGTCCGTGCCCAATATTGCGCGTCTGGAAGAAATGGCAGCTGACGCCGAAATGAAATTCGCCTTCGCCGCACTCATCCTCGCCGACGCGGGGCTAGAGATCACAGCGGAGAAGCTACTTACACTCGTGCGCGCGGCTGGCATGGTGGGACAAGATCCGACATGGGCGATGCTATTTGCGAGGGCGCTGGATGGAAAGACAGGACGGGATGCGAAACAAGGTTTACTGAAATCAAAGAATAAGGCTACCAGAACATGGAGCATCTCGCCTTATCACCGACACCCGGAAATCCTGCCTGACTTTAGAGCGCCGAATACATTCTTTCGGCGTTGGTCATCATCGAAGCGAGTGCAAGGTCCAGCATTATCAGAGAGGTTCCAAAAAGTTCGCCGGTCCACCAATATGTGGACTATCCATGACGAATAGTATATACCCTACCCCATCATCCTTTTCCTACTTTTCCTCTTTTGACCTGACATGGTAATCAACTAGCGCCCGAATCAACATCCTCACTTTCCGCTGCGCCGCCGTCAAGCTGAACCGGCTACCACCAGAGATCCGACTTCAGATCTTTCGCGAGGTTTTTCCACGTCCCAGCAGCATGATCAAATATACTGAAACCTCTGGCTCAACTGTGGTCACGGTACTCCACGGAAGCCGAGAATCGAGAGTTTTTCAGCGGCTGCGGAACCGCATGAGCTTCGACCCCGACGAACCAGTTTACGTCACAGCTAGTACTCCATCCCTACCACTGGTAACCATGCCTCCGCATATTCATCTACATTCGTGAGACCTCCAATCCCGGTCTCTGAACAAGTACAAGTACTGGCTAGACCCGCAAGCCGTCGGCCGTCTGGCGTTCGAAGCTGCGGAGGTCATCGCACACGCGGTGTTCATCTTGCCCACCGATACCGACGCGTTGGCGTGGCTGGGGAATGAAGCGAGCTCTATGAACGTGAAGCACTTGGTACTGGGCCATGGTGAGCCAGAATCCCTGGTCGACTTGCAAGGGGTTCTTGGCCGTGGGCTTGCCCGTCTGAGAAACCTGGAGCGGGTGGACTTGCTCTTGAATAAGAGTAACTGGATGCGTTACCCGCCAGATGTCTTCGGCTATGGTGTTCTGCGGGAGATGTTTGAACTGGTCAAGGACCTTGTGAGCAGAGGGTTGGAGGTCAACTATGTCCCGTTCGTAGACAACGAGAGCTGTGAGTTAAAGCGGGAGTACCGCTCACGAGCAGAGGATTATGTATGCCATGAAAGGGATGCATGTAGCACCCAGGAGAGTTTGTGGTGGTATGGCCAATACGTCTAGCGGCTGCCTCAGGCGTAGACAAGCCGACACTGGAGTGCCGTTTCAAACCGCAAGGATCTGGAAAACTGGGGCGTGGGATGGACATCAAAGCAGCGAGGGAGTGGTGGACCAGAGAGAGGATGAAGAGGAGAGGAAAGAGGGAGGTTGAGTGGAGATGCATTGGATCACTCGACGGTGTTGGGGCGCGGTGATGATTCGATGATGGGATTCCGATTCATCGCGAAAGAGGAGTGGAGGTATGTTTTACTCAAAAGCGAGATCTGAAGACCAGAAATGGAGAAGATGAAAATGTATTTATTGGACTTGAAAGGTAAGTAAGGCAATGAATGGAAAACTTGATCGTGTAGAATATCTCCACCCCCAGTATGTCCTTCAACTCACCCGCTGCAACGCTCGTTTGAATAGACATGGGATTGCGGCGTAGACATCTCTAAATAGAGGCGCGATGCAGCACGGACATCTGAATCGTTCCCAGCACCAAGACCCCTCGTACTAAACTCCTGTTCACTCGATGCTGTCAGGGGATCGCCAAGCTGTTCCCAGTATCCCGAGAAGCGCTTTTACGCGCTCGCGTGGGCCGAAACTATTTCCTTATCAGGGAGAAAAACTTCGGTACTGGGTCTGGGAGTATGCAGAACAAGTTTCGTGCTATTCTATCCTTAGCGCCGCTGCGCCGCAGATGTTTGAGGCTGGGGAATCGGCGGCTATGGGAAGCACGATTGGATGGGGATCGCGAAGAGGCGGAAACACCAACACAGTGATTCGAAACGGAGGATCATGTTCGGGAGACGGCAGTGTTTGGGCGTGGTGCTGAGAGGTTGTAGAGGTGTATGCTGATCACGTGAGGCTTTATGTAAATTAGCTACAGGGGTAATACATAAATGCATTCGAGTACAAAGCACTATTCTTTTTTCGAAGTTCACCCCAACATCTATCTACAACGTATACCTGAAATCAGGATGTCTATCTCCCATTTTGCCTGCGTCAATCTCTTTAATCCGCTCCTCAATCGACATGTTCTCGCGCTTGCGGTTCAGACCGCGCAGAAGGAGAAACATGGTGAAGTAGCCCACTGCAGCCGTAGTCATGGTGCTGAGAGAAATTGCATGGCCGATAACATAGCGTCCATCGGCGTTTTTCAGACGATAGATCTGTCCGGCCATGATACCGGCGCTATTTCCAATGGTTTGCTGCAGGCCGATAGCTGTTGCGCGCTTGAAGTAGCCGGCGTTGCTGTTGATGATCCAGGTGACGTTCAAGCCAACAACGCAGTAGATACCAGTAGCAGTGACGAAGGTCGCGAAATAGAGGACAGCCGTTTTATCCATAGAGACTCCCAGCTGCATAGCGTATCCGATCGAAGTAACGAGCGCCATTGGGACCATGAAGATAGCCCTGCGGTTGAAGTGGTCCGATGCGAAAGAGACGGTGATATAGACAATGGATGCCCAGATGTATACCGGCACAGTGAGCAGTTGGGTGTGGATGCTTGAGTACCCAAAGCCCTTGATAATGACGGGCAGGAAAGTTGAGAAACCAAACGAGCACGTGTCGGCGCAGAACTGGCAGAACGATGACAACCAAACTTTGGGGTCCTGGAAGGCGTACTTGACTTCTTCCTTGTCGAATGTCTCGATGGAGAGCGACGCGCCTTGGTACAAGCTTGCGTTTCCAGTTCGAGCGCGCATGATGACCTTTTCGTCTTCACGGAGCCACCAGGCTGTCTCGAAGTTGTCGGGGAGAAGGAAGATAGCCATGAGGCCGACGATCATTGAGATGACGCCCTCGATCAAGAAGAGCCATCGCCATCCTGCGAGACCTTTGGCGCCATGGAGACTCGTCAGACCATATGCAAGTAGGCCTCCGAAAGCCCCGGAGAGGGCTGATGCGACGAAGAGGTATGAAATACGGCGAGCTTGCTCAAGAGGCTGGTAGAAGGTGCTGAGGTACAGTGTCAAGCAGGGGAAGAGCCCGCTCTCGAAGCAACCTAGGAGTAGACGCGTCGCAATGAGACCAGCGTAGTTGTTAACGAAGGCTGCGCCAATGATAACAGCGCTCCAGCAGATAACGAAAAATGGGATAAGGCGACTTGGGCGTAGCTTCTTAAGCGCTAATGATGCCGGTACCTCGAAGGCAATATATGTAACTAGGTTGAAGTTAGAGGATGGAGGTAGTCAATGAGGAATGTCGCATACCATAAAACAGAGTCACTGCAACGTTCAACCTATTGCCGGTCAGGTTCAGATCGGTTGTCATTCCAGCAATAGCGGCATTTCCTACTGAGCCGTTAGCGATTATATTGATGGTTAGAGCCAAGGGCGAGGCGTACCAATGTTGCTTCGGTCTAGATATGCTACCAGGAAGAAGAGAACCATCATCGGCGACAGCATCAGATCCAACTTCCGAATCAGGCGCTTCTCAGCTACCGGATCGATATACGTCTGGCCATCATCGACCTTTAAAGCTTCACCCTCACTAATGGCGGCATCCTTGGTAAAGGAATTGGCGTCCATGCCCTTTTCAGTGTCCATTTTGAAAGCACAAGAAGTGGATTCGATATGCCGAGGTGGAGTATTCGTAAGTTTTTGTCGTAGTGTCGTGCCATCTCCAACCTTAAAGTCGTTGCAGTAGTTATACACATCATCCCAGATGGCAACGATGGTGTTTGTCCGATCATGAAAATTTGCCGATGAGAAGATGAGGAAGGGATCGGAGAACGAACCATGGGACGATCCGTCGGCATATCCTCGTATCTATTTTGCCAGCCTCGTCTCGGGATAGGACGCTTCTCCGCAACGGAGTCTTGAAGCCGACGGCACACAAATATCGGGGAATTCCCTGAGCCCCATGCTGCATCCTCTCCACCCTCCAAATGCCGAACGACACCACGAAAGTCGATACGCCGCGACGGAAACGAGGCCGACATGCTGTCGCATGTATTCCTTGTCACAGGCGTAAGCAGAAGGTATGCTTTGAAGTTTCGTGGATCGTCGGAATGAATGGTGTATCCCAAGGGTCCAAAGACTTTGATCGGATACAGAAATGCGCATCACGTGATCTTAGTCTTCTCCTTTGCAATGAACGTGGAAGATTATAAATACCTAGCTAACATGTATCCTTCAACTCTAGTGTGACGGTGCTCATCCCTGCTTCAACTGCAAGCGTCGAAATGTCGCTTCGCGCTGTGCGTATATCGAGGAAGCTCAGCGGATGCATGCAAGCCCGGCTGCAGACGCTCAAAACAGTCGCCAGGCTTTAGCAAACACACCCCGAAACGACGAAACAAGCAACCATGAAGCCCCAGCTGGTGCTAATCACGACTTTGCCGGGGCTTCTGAGGACTCCGTCCATACTGCAGGCGCAGATGATTCCTCAGATCCCACAGTCGGTGACCTGTTCAAAAGCCGAGATGCCCCATCGTTTTTTGGGTCGTCTTACTTTGGCCCTCAAGCAGCGGCCAAGATTATGGAAGCTCCAGCACCTGATCTGACTTCTGGGATTCGATCTCAGATGGCCAGTTCTACGCACTCATTCCGCGACGAGGGAGGCCCTTTCTCACAGATATGGGACCTCCTTGGTCTATTGCCCCGGAAGAAGAGTACAGTCGACAGGATCACCGATTGCTTCCTTAATGAGCTCAACTGGACCATAGATGCGGTGTGCCCGGCGTCATTCAGAAGCAAGTACGACGATTTCTGGGAACGGAAGTTTGGATTTGATGACTTTGCTACTATAGACCTCCGGTGGCTCGCACTTCTCTTCATTGTTCTAGCATTCGGGGTGTTACTCGATTGTCCACGTCCCAAGAATAAGGAAGTCCAGAGAGAGCTTCAAGACACATCATTGCGCTTCTACTGGGCCGCAAGACGGGCTATCGTAATTGCTCCGACCTTCTACGGCGAGTCGACGGATCTTGTAAGAGCGGGAGTGCTGGTTACGCGTTATTTGATATACTCCCGACGAGTGCCTGAGTCGTGGCTTACGACTAGCTTTGCGATGGTGCGTTTGGCTAGACCTCCCCCCTTCTGGCCATTGACTGAGTGCTTTCACTTCGTAGCGTATGGCGCAAGCGCAAGGCATGCATATCGACGGAGAGCGGTGGCGGCTCCCTCGAAAGGAGACCGAGACCCGCCGCAGACTCTGGAGCCATTTATACATGCTCGACAAGACCATTGCGTTGGCTTTAGGCCGTCCATTTGCCATTCTCGATCAGCAATGTCTCGTCAAAAAGGCGTCAAATGTGTGGTTAGACGACATGACCGATGAGGAAGCAGCTAGTACCTCTGAAGCGCCTCTTAGCGAGCCAACGTTGAGTGTTTGTACTTCTTTGGCCCACCACCTCGCCATCATCGTTGGGAAAATTCAAGAGCACTGCTTCGGCTTATTTACTGATTCCTACGACATGGTGCTTTCCCTAAATGAAGAGATCGTAACCTGGGAAGCCAAACTCCCTCCGTACTTCAAGCTCCATGACCCCGATACTTCGAAGGATGGCCTTCTTCCATTCCTCTTCTGGAATCGACTGCACTTACATAGCATGTATCACTTTGCCAGAGTCACGCTACATAGGCCATACCTCCTTCGCCAATCCATCACGAACCGCTTTCGGCACAGCCACGACATTTGCATTGCATCGGCTTGCGCAGATCTGGACATGAGGTTGAAGTATCTCTCGCAACGACTCAATGATCGGCTGAAATGGTGTCTCGGTCCTCACCATCTCTTCAACAGTGCGCTCGTATTGGGAATCATTGCCGTTCGCGAGCCGCACTCCCGCCGATCCATTGCCATCCTTGAAGACCTTGAAGCCTACTGTGAGATGCAGAAGAACGACATCTGGATCAACGAGTTCGCTCTCGCGGAGGTCAAGATAGTCGAGCTCTGTATCAAACGCGCGAGGAAGCTCCGAACTTCAGCGCAAAGTTCATCTGCGGTGGCCGTCTCTCAGCCTTCGACTGTCCCCGCCCACGCAACCGATACAACCGAAGGCTTCAGCTCTGCAAGCACGGAGACGATTGCCCCAGCGGCGCCTACCAATGCCCCAGCACCTCCGCAGCCGCATTTTGACTATTGCGGCAGCGAACCTCCACTCATGCCATCATTTCCACCGGGCGACAACGCTCAACCATGGCAAACCGCATGGGCAGACCCGTCTTTCTCTCTCCTCGAAGCAGCGGACTTGCAGCACTGGGAGTATGTGTTGGACAACATAACGCAATACCAGATGAGCTTTATGGGACAATGAGTTTCTACCTGAGCGCCGACTACATGCACCCTGATTCACGCCCTTACGCCTTCCCCGGCTTCTCCTCATAAACCACCCTGTTCACCAAACTCCCCAACCCATGGCTCATTACCACCCTCAAATCGTCTCCATCTTTCAGAAACACCGGCGGCGTCTTACTAACCCCAATCCCATGCGGCGTCCCCGTCATAATCACTGTCCCCTTCTCCAGCGTAGTCCCTTGACTAATATACGCCACGATCTCCGCAATCCCAAAGATCATATCGTCCACCCTTCCCTCCTGCATCACCTCCCCGTTCAAGGTCGTCCGCAGCTCAATGGGCCCTGGATCCGAAATGCTCCGCGCAGCAACCACACACGGCCCCAGCGGCGCGAACCCATCGAAGCCTTTCCCGAACCCCCACTGCGCGCTGTGGAACTGGTGCGTTCGCGCCGTCACGTCGTTCGAACACGTATAACCGAGCACATAATCCATGGCATCTTCCTTCTGCACGTTCTTCGCGTCTTTACCAATCACGATCGCGAGCTCGGCTTCGTAGTCGGCCTGCCCGTCTGTCGCTTGGTAGGGGATCACGAGGGGCGCGTTGGGGGCGCCGAGGCAGGAAGCGGGCTTGAAGAAGAGGGTTGGGTAATCGGGGAGCTCCATGTGCATTTCCTTGGCGTGGTTGCGGTAGTTGAGGCCGATGCAGCGGATTGTACCAATTTCATTGCGGGAGAGCGGTGGGAGGAGGGTGCGGATGGTGAGAATGGTCGTGGTGGGGCGGGTTGAGGGGTCGAGGATTGTGCTTGAGGTGAAGATGCAGACGCGGATGGGGTTGGAGGTTGTGAGGGCGGCGCCGACTGAGTGGTGTTAGGAGGGATATTGGTATCAATTGAGAGGTTGCGGAGCGTACTGTCAATCTTTGAGTCGATGGGTTCACCGGTATATTCCTTGTCGTCTTCTGCTGCTATGAAGCGGACGAGGCGGTTCCAGCTCTGCGACACCAAAAAAGTTAGTTTAGCTATAAATGTCAAACCAATTGAGCACTCACAGTAGCCATTCCCTCCCCAGTCTCGACTTGCGGCATTGAGCCCACGTTGAAATCGGGAGATAAGGTACCTGAAGCTTGGCCGAATTCCAAGGAGATCGCAGAAAGCTGTTAACATGAATGTATCAGACGACGCGTTCCTTCTCTATCATCGTCATTCGCCATGTGTTTTCTAAATCCCGATCGATCGGCTTTCGCGTGCGGTCCCTTGGTTCCAGGAATTGGGGATTGGAGTCCTATATCTTTCGGAAGGGTATGAATTTCTGACTCCCTATCTTGGGGAATATTTCTCCTCTGATGTGATGTTTATTTGCCGTCGGCTTTGGATTTTTGATAAGAAATTGAGGAAGGCCGGGGATACCCCATACTCTTGGCAGGGACAAACATCCATGGATGACTTGCATGAGTCGCGTGCGAGTGGGACCCGATGCCATGTCACGTACTATATCGCCGCTTTGCCAGAGTACCAAGACCGTAGGTTGGGTATCTGAGATACCTTTGTACTTCAACGGCTGAAAATTCGGTGGAATTCGTCAGGGAATAGGAAATGAAATTGAAGGAGGCGACTTAGAAATTCCCTTCTAAGAAAGAAATCTAAGGATATATACTTTGAAGCACCCGGAACACCCCCAATAGCCGCCAAATAAAACCGAATAAACACTACCTCTTCTTCTCCACCACCTCCTCCCCCTTATCCTGCACAACCAACACCATCCCACCCCCCGCCACCGCCGCACTCGTCACCGCCACCAACGCAATCCCCGCGATATTCGGCCGAAACAGCCCCCTCTGCAGCAGCCGCAGCGACGCAAAGTACCGCGTGGTCCCATACGTCAAGCAGCCCGTCCCCGATGCCACCAACGCCGTCGCCTGGATCTTCAGGTCGCCATGGTCGTGCTTCAGCATCGGCGATAGGGCTTCCAGGGCGTCGAGCTTTGCGAGAGCTACGCCGAGAGCTACGAAGCCGAGCCCGGTGCGGGTCCACGCGAGGAAGGTGCGCTCGTTGGCGAGGTGGTCACGTGCGACGCTGCCGGTGTTGGCGATCGGGGTGGTGCGGAGGTGGCGGAGGTAGCGAGACATTGGGGGCCGGTTAGGGGGTTGGTGGGCCGGAACGTGTCGTGTTTCTGTGAGGAGACAGGTTGGGGGTGGGAGATGTGTGTGTATATAGAGGATTTTGCTTTTTTTCTAGGTGTTGAGAAGGGTGTATGCTGGTATCGCGTATGACGGCCGTTTTAATGACGTCGTTCTCTGTGATTTCTGATCCCGGACAGGTTTGCAGAGCGTTCAATGGCTTTGTGTCTAGAGGCGCTTTCGTCTTTGTGAGGAAAAAGATGCGGGAGTTTTGATAGACGGGTAAAGCGTGGTGTTGATAGGCGAAAGTGGTACTCTAACAAAGTGTATATTCTACGATGCCCGCGGTCTTGGCATTTCTTGAGTCGCGTCGGTTTACGCGTCTCTTCCGTCCCATCAACGCCACACCGGTTTCCATCAGTTCATCATGGCATCTGGTCTACGCAACCGAAAAAAGCCTGTCGAAGATGATAGGCCTGTAATTGAACCTAGGAGTCGGTCACCACCGCCAAATGTCCAAACCAGCAAGGTCTCCTGCATGACCACTAAGAATAGCCAAGGCGTGTCCAAGTCCTCCAGAGGACGTGCATGTCCAAAAAAGGAGACATCGGAATCCAAGCAAAGGAAAAAAGAATCTCCTGCCTTACGTTTCTCCGCTAGAAAAATGGAAGCTCACAGACTCTTACTACGGGGAGCGGGGAATCTGCAGTGATGACACCGATCTCGACTACCTGAAATGCACATTCATCTTATACGGTCGCTATCATGGCTCTTTGCAGACGCCCAGGGCCGGTGATCTCACTGTCGAATCCGACCTTACCTAAGTAGAACTGGGACCTGCCTCTGGAATGCTGTTCCGCACAGAAGAGACCGGGAAGAGCATGTTAGTGCAAAACGCGCTCCTCGAACACGAACACAATGGGATCAGATTCGAGGCGATATACAAAGATGTGAAGGATGCCATCGAGAGGGAAAAAACGGACGATCCCAAGGCACACGTTTCGGTTGGTCTAAAGTGCGCCAATGGGAGACGAAGGAGCGTGGCGTTTGCGGAAATGATGGCGAAGAGGCTGAAAGAGGAAGGAGTGTGGAAGGTCGAGATTGTACACCGGGACTTGGAGAAGGAGAGGATACCTGAAGACCTTGGGAAAGGTCTTGAAAACTTCTTCGTAATATGGGATCACTTGACGTGGAACGATATCCGTAAATACTTCTCAGGGCGCGTCAGTCAGAAAAAGATTGCACTCGTAGTGGAGAAAGTCAAATGGGAACTTGATCCAAAGCCCGTCAAGATCAAAATAATCTCGTACGGCTGGCGACATGGTCCTTCAAAAGAAAAACATTATGCCGGCCTCTTAGACATGTCAAACGTCTATATGAATGGCAAAGAGTTATCTCGCACGACCGAGTCCGGCTTGAGTGAGTACGTTCAACGCGGAATCCTGGAAGAGAGTTTGCATAATCGAATCCGGTACGAGCAAATTTACGATATCACTGGCTTTGCAGTCAAAAATTACATCAAAGATGCACATGGAAGGTGGCATGGCGAAACCTTAAAGATCGGTTACAAAGACGATAATGGAAGGCATCAGAGCGTGGCGTTTGCGGAGATGGTTGGGAAAAAAGTGACAGAAAAGGGACTCTGTGAGGTGGAGGTAGTACACCGGGATGTTGAGAAACCGATCATACGGTGGAATCGTGACATAATACTGAAGGAAACCAGAGAGGAAATGCAGAGTTTCCTTGCAGCATACGATAACTTGACGGCGGAAGACCTACCCTACTTCTTCGGAGATCGCATCAGTGAGGACGACATGGCGATTATATTCGATGGCGCAAGTGACGACGGATGGTTGTGGCGAAGACGCGAGCATGGGTGACATGTGGGAGCGACGAAGATTTTCTTTTGGATTTCTGCCCGTGTGCGGGAGTACGCTTCACGAATGGAAGGGAGTCAGGATGCTTAGAATAACTGCCTTGGCGATCTTGGATAACCGCAGCACGAAAGCCACCAATGTTATCATCAGTAGGTTCTTTTTTTTTCGGGATCTTCTTCATCCCCGGAGCGAATATGCACACGGATTTCACGTTCTAGGACACCTACATGAGGCGTCATGCTCTCGTTCTAACTACCCAGACACCTCCCTAGCTGACCTTACGCTTCCCTCGTCTCCTACCTCTACTCTTCCTCCTCCTTTCTCTCAGCCGGCCACAGCACCCAAGCCCCAATCACTCCCGCCTTTAATCCCGCTGCCACCCACAACGCCCCCTTCATGCCTACGCTGCTATGCGCAAACAAACCTCCTCCCACCGCCCCGATGAGCAACAAAACCGGCGCCGCAATCCTCCGATTCCGCTCCACATTCTCCCTAAAGCCGGTCGTGAACAGCCTGGGATCGCTAAACAAATCACAATAATTGCTCGTCAGCACCACACTAGTGAGCCCGCTGTACTGCAAGACGCGGCTCGTGACGGCCTGGCCGGAGGACTGAAACGAAATAGCGGCGAGGGGGACGACGACGTTCCATGGGATCTCGTTGGAGTCTTTCGGGGGCGCGGTGGTCAGGGTTAGGATCAAAGCAGCGAGGATGAGAAGGAGGAGTTGAAGAGTGAAGCTGAGCAGTAACGTGATGCGTTTGCGGGGACCGAGCAGGCGGTGGGTGGTGCTGAAGAAGAGAGAGCCTAGGCAGAAAGAAGCGATTGAGGTGATGGATTTGAGCCAGCGGGTGGAAGCTTGCGGTTCGACGATGCCGAGGCCGAGGTAGATTGTGTTTCCTTGGGATTGTTAGAATTAGAGTTGTGTGGATTTGATTTAATGGGGAGAACGGGGGATGGGTACCGGTTTGCATAGACGCGAACGCTCCCCAGATATAAACGGCTGAGCTATCTATCAAACCGGTGATGAGGTAGCCGAAGAGGAGGACGACATCAGCGCGGTGTTTGCTGACATTGGAAGTCATGTGCTTTCGGAAACGTATAGAGAGGTTGCTATTGTGCTTCCTTTGGCCCAAAAGGGGTGTGTTCTCGTCTAAGGTTCCACTCCGCGGAGTGCCATTGTCCATCTCAGGGTGGAAAATGTTTGGAAAATCGACCGCGATGTTTTGAAGCCCTCAATTACGATGTTGATATATTTTCAAGGACTACGCGAGTAGGGGTGTTGGTATTCTTTATCTTCGTTTCTTTTCCAGGCTTAATGGTGCAATGCGGGGGCTTTGTTGCATGACGAAAGGTGACGGTCCACGGAGATCGCGGAAGCTAATGCACACTAACGACTACTCACTATGACTAAGTAGACGTCACTTATAACCTCAGAGGGCCCTTCTCGTGAGCTTCATTGATCTTGAAAACCACTTGCAATTTGCGATGTTGCTTCAATTGACTTTATTCGTGATTTTGGCGGTGTCGGGGGTTTGCGGTTTTGCTGCACCGGTCTCCCAGCACCCATTTGGCCCTCATGGCGGTCCGCGGGGAAAACCATTTACGAGGAAGCACAAGGACCCGTATGACAAAAAGATTGATACTGTCGCTGATGGAGTTCAGCCCTTACCGTTTGTAAGTGCAGCTTTTCTTGCTTTAAATCCAGCTCGAAAATCGGCATTCAACCTTCAACTTTCTTTTTTTTGTCGAAATCCATCCCAATCACATCAATCAACCATCCTACAACATATACGAGAATAAGGGAACACATCCCGAGAATTTTCGTGAGCACCAGCTTCGTTTGAACTGATTTAATCCTCCAAAGCGAAATGGCAACGGTGCCAGCGTCCTCGGTCCGCGAAACAAAGACCGCGAACGACAAAACCCAGATCTCGTTCGTCCGCCGAGCACCGATCATGGAGATATGAAGAATATGCGCTGGTCTTTCGCCGACTCGCATGTCCGAATCGAAGAAGGCGGATGGACGCGGCAGACGACTATTCGTGAGCTTCCTACGAGCGTGGAGCTAGCTGGCGTGAACATGCGATTGGACGAGGTGGAGATCTACCACATAGAAACCCCCGCGTGATTAAAACTGATAGATCAGGGTGTCATCCGAGAACTCCACTGGCACAAAGAAGCGGAATGGGCTTACGTACTAGAGGGAAACGTTCGCATCACGGCACTAGACCCTGAAGGCGGAAGCTTCGTAGATGATCTGGAGAAGGGGGATCTGTGGTAGTATGTGAACCTTCATCACTATCTGTGATGAGCTCGACGCCTAATCAATGCTTACAGCTTCCCATCTGGATATCCCCATTCCCTGCAAGGCCTCAGCCCCAACGGCACCGAATTCCTCCTAATCTTCGACGACGGTAACTTCTCCGAAGAATCCACTTTCCTTCTCACGGACTGGCTTGGTAAGTCATCTCCCCCATGCCCCTCTCGTCTCAGCTAACCCTCCCCAAGCCCATACCCCCAAATCCGTAATCGGCGAAAACTTCCGCCTCGCCCCAGAAGTCTTCAACGCCCTACCAGCCTCCGAAAAATACATTTTCCAAGGCTCCGTTCCGGGCTCCATCGCCGACGAAATCCCCAAGAAGGGCTACAAGAAATCCGCACTCCAGTTCACCCACAAAATGCTCGCCCAAGAAGCCCTCAACGCCACCGGCGGCACCGTCCGCATCACCGACAGCACCAACTTCCCCATCTCCAAAACCGTCGCCGCCGCGCACCTCACCATCGAACCCAACGCGTTGCGCGAAATGCACTGGCATCCCAACGCGGACGAGTGGTCGTTCTTCATCCGTGGTAGAGCGCGAGTGACCATCTTTGGGAGTTCGGGGACGGCGCGGACGTTTGATTATGGGCCGGGGGATGTGGGGATTGTGCCGCGGAATATGGGGCATTTTATTGAAAATCTGAGTGATGAGGAGGAGGTCGAGGTGTTGGAAATTTTTAGGGCGGATAAGTTTCAGGATTTTAGTCTCTTTGAGTGGCTGGGGGAGACCCCGCAGCGGTTGGTACGGGAGCATTTGTTTAAGGGGAGGGAGGAGGAAGGGAGGAAGTTTGAGGAGGCGATTAAGGGCGCGGGGGAGGATCCGATTAGAGGGGTGCCGGTAGAGGGGATAGGGGAGTCGGAGAGGGAGCTGTAGATGTTTCCATATACATTTTACGGTAAGCGCTCGTCCTCTTTGCCTTTACCTTTCCGGAGCTGGGGCTGCTTTTTTGCGTCATCGAGGTGTCACAATAGGACCAGAAATCACAAGTATTGCAGACCATGAGTTGGTTGTATTTACATTACAAATTAATGCTAGCAAAGCGAACCTCCCCCTCTATATTCAGCCTGTCTCTAGGTCCTTTCATCCACGTACAGCACCATACATCGTCCAATCCCCTTCTATAACCATGTTGCGCTCACTTCATCCCATCTGGCGAACTCATGATGCGTGAGCGAGGATGACGTCGGCAGCTTTCTCGGAAATCATGTATACGTTAACAGGTTGCATTGTGTTGAGAGGCTTGTCTGACAGAATCTAGTTGGTGGAAACAGTCGCAGCCGTAAATGAAGGTCAGTAGAACGAGGCATGAACGATATGACATATAAAGACTCATCGGGAAACAGTGTACGGCATGGGCCTCGATCTGGGCACCTTGATTGCGGTCATGGGCACTGTGTATTCTAGGAACCCACTCTCTCTTGATCCAGGATTTTCAATTGGCGGAAAGTCTAGCAAAGTTAGTAATATTCTCGCAACTTGCTTGGGTATGAAAGTCTTCAACTGTCCGGACAAGGCCCTTACTGAGAATATGCAGGAAAACCTCGCGGCCTATCCGCCGCTCACAACCTTATCGAAGCCGACGCCCCTAACACGCGAGATGATGTCTATCTTACTAGAGATGCATCTACTATGAACATGACCAAGTTTCTGGAAATCTATGATTCAATGGGAGACGGCGTCCTTACTTTCGACGACGTTGGTGCCGTATTGCCAAGCAATTTGAGGAAAGCAAGGCATCGAATCCTCATTTCTATAGTGGGCCCTTACACCGGCATGATCGGACGAAATGCCGGATACGCCTTTGCTATTCGTCTTCTGAACAACCACTCCGTTGAGAATCCTCTGGGCCAAATGAGTATGTACCCCTGACCTGTTCTATACCAATTCCAGAAGAGCAAAGCTTACCCCAATGTAGCCAAGAATGTGCTCAAGTCGTTCTGGGCCGTCTACGATGACGACAAGCCGCCTTCCGGCCTAGTGTACGGGAAAGGCCACGAGCAGATCCCCTCCAACTGGTACCGAATCCCCGTGGACTATACCCTCGTCCGACTCAACGTCGACCTCTTCCAGTGGTATCTAAAATATCCCGCCACGCTGTCCATCGGAGGTAACACGGGCAAGGTGAACTCCTTCGTCGGGCTGAATTTCGACGACATCACGGGCGGCGTGCTCAACAGCGCCTCCCTTCTCGAAGGGAACAGCCTCATGTGCTTCGTTCTGGAAGTTGTCAAGACATTTGCGCCAAACAGCCTCGCCACTCTCTTCAAGACTCTGGCGACGCCGCTGGAGCTCGTCACAGACTATTGCTGCGCCGATTCTAAGCCTTGCGTGCCCTGAGTTCGCGGACCTCCAGACGGGTGGAACCAACCTCTGGACGAAACTCATGTCCTTCCCGAGGGCTGCGAAGGCTGGGAGTGCTCTATGATAGCAGATTGTGTTTGATTAAGCCGGTATGGTGCGCATGCCAGCAAATTTAGACATGCTCGCCGCCTATAATGCAGAGTTATTTAGTTCGAGCTGTATACTTAACTAATAATGCTGACTGTGATTGTGTCTATATGATTAAGGGGGCCACTAACTACACACCCCCTTTTACACCCCTTTTTCACTTCACGCACACCCCCCTCCTCTTGGGGCTTCACCACTTTCTGATTGGCTCGGAGCACTGCTGTAGCATCACGTACGGCCTCGCGTATAGCATCACGTACGGCCTCGTCTATAGCATTACGCACGGCCTCGTCTATAGCATTACGCACGGCCTCGTCTATAGCATCACGTGCAGAGAGACGTAAGGGTGAATGCCCGGAGGAAGCTCCGGCCTCTCCGAGCCAATCAGAAAGTGGTGAAGCGCCAAGAGGAGGGGGGTGTGTAGTTAGTGGCCCCCATGATTAAATCACTACCGAAAAGTTCCCAAGATAAATAGCACAGTGCCTAACGGGTTAAGCGGAAGCAAGAGTGAATAGTGATGTAGCAAGTGTATATGAAAGGGAAAAATGATTGCCCAACAGTTGTTTTTTCTTCAATATCGATTATATCGATTAGTATCTGAATCTTCATTCTAGCGAGTACTTCGCCTTCCTCCTATAGCGAACGGTTCCTAATGCTAAGTACAGGCTCGTGGGTATAGAGTGCTAAGGTGGCAGCCATACCACTAGGGGCCAAGCTGATTGTTTTGCAAAACTGCTGGACGTCTCAAAATGATTTTCTAATACGATGGATATCAGATATCATATCCTCGTCGGGTGTGCGAATGTGTGTAATTAGATTACGAGGAGTTTCGGTGATTGGACGACGGCCGAAAACTCAGAGAACTGTGATCTCCATTCGCAGATGTTACGCTTCCGACGGAAATAAAGAATTGGAAATACAGCTTGCAATGCATGATAGACAATTAAAAGTGCAATTAGCTGACAAATGACTAAGAGAGCGCAAAATACTATCAAACGAGTCGAATGATGACTTCGTCCGAGCCTAAGTTGGTATCCAATTCACTGATTTCCTGAGATGATACGCCCTGGATATCGCAAGTTCCCTTCAGCTTGTTCCAGTCCTCTTCTTCCCAAATAGCGCAGCCGACGCGTTCGAATTCGCCATCTCCCCGGTGGATGGGAGCTAACATAACGCAAAGCACCCAGCCTCGCCTGGGTTTTGGCGATTGGCCTGTGTCCAGGATGCTGTTGCATTTATCGCAGTGCGATTGGTGTAGTGATGCTTCGACGAGGGTCTTACAATGGTAACAAGGGAAGCTAGGAGCATATATGATTATTCCTAAGCAGTACACCTCTTGGGCATGACCCTCGTCGATATCAAACATGTATCGACCGCTCGGACGTTTACTTTTCGCGTCTAGCCATTCCTCAGGCCAATCCGCTGGCACACCTTCTGTTCGCATTGTAAAGGCACCTCTAGTGTTCACTAGAAATGATATTTCTGCAATCCAATGTAATGGGGAGGGCTGACTGGGGAGATGACGGCTTTTCTAAGCTTTCCTCGGACGAAGACGTAGGAGCTGTGATATGAATAGCCATGCTGCCCTTTGAGACGAACAACGCGTGCAATGCCAACATAGGTGCGCCACGATTCCCAGGCAGGATGATGTTCTCCTGATAATGGGGAGATAAACCGGAGGTAATCATCGCAAAAGACCCCTCCAGTAAGAGATGTCCAGGAAAACGATGGGCCGTATATTCGGGTTGGACGTAGATAATTTTCATCGGGATAGACCTGGGATGAGGCGCACGGTATCCACAGGAAGTTTCGCAAGTTGGTATTAGAGTCTGCTGCATCCTGGTGACCTATAATGAGCCCCCATACGAAGATGAGTCCGGTTGCCTGCTCAACAGCTTTTGCCATACCCCATATCGCGTTTGAACGGTCCGTATCTATGATCAGTTGTCGCAATGAGAAAGCCCGAATGATTGAACACCAGTCCCCTGGGTTGATTTGGTGACAATTTTTGAAGCCGGGAATGAGCCCCTTTTGGATGGTTCTGATTGGTCTATAGTCACCCCTGGTTCGTCCCCAGCCACCCATCTTACCTGCTAAGTGAGAATCGTCAGATATACAAAGATCTGCTTCATCCACCTTACCCGAAACACAACCCCAGACTACTGTGTGACTTCCGAAGACAAGTTGGCGAGTACTCAGAGCTTGCTCCTGCATTATCCAGCCCCTTTCCCAAAGAGTCATGTCTTGGCTCCAGTTGTACTGGCGCATCCCCTCGGCTCTGCCCCGGAGTGAGAATAAATCTGAGCCGATCTTATTGGCGTTAACTCGTATTCCAGGCAATCTTAGGTCACAACTTCTATTTTCGAGACCATTTCTGGGTGCGAATAGACCATCTACCCGGATTTGGTACGTCCGTGGGATGCGTATTTGCTGCAAAGATGGTGAACAGTGCCCCGCGGTAGATATCACACATCTTTGCGCTCTCTGCCATCCAATCGTCTGTTGAGTCTTGGATGATACATAGCGACTCAATCCACAGGTACCTGATCTTGAATTTTCGAGCCACAACAACAGCGTCAGAGAAGGTAGGTGGCATAGAATCCAGGAGGATGCACATCTTCCTATCAGCGAGCGTTGCTTTGGTAGTCGTCAGAACATGGTCGCTCCACCGGTGACTTAGGGTTAGATATACCCCAGTCTTGGACGGTTCGGTTTCATGTAAGAATGGTTGTTCATCGATAGATCCGACATCAATGACTCGGCTTGGGAGCTTTTTATCGCTGGACATCTGGAAATGATGGCACTCCTTGTGCTCGGATAGATTTCAAGATACTCTCCGGACTCATTCAATGTGGACCCATAGCTTGGCTTCGGGTACTGTGCAATAGAATCTGCTCTGTGTTCGTATTTGAGATGCATGGCTCTGAAAAAAAGGCCTATACGTTGATCAGCTGTAAAACGGCTATTGGAGCCGTAGAATTCTGTAGAGAAGGTTTTCAAAATTTGCACGCAAAGGTGACAGCCCGAAGATGCAGAGGTTTCTAGTGCCTCAAGGCTGGGTTAGTGAACTGTAGTGAACTCGAGGATTGTCCCCCAATTATCTCGAGGGAGCTCATAGGAGCCTTTCTCCCAGTGCTCATGTACACGTCTCGAAAATGGTTACAATGATTGCAGAACATGATTCGGAACGGAAACACTGGACGTTTGTGAGTTGTAGAGCTGTAGAGTGGAGTATTGTAGTCTAGAAGCTTCAGCCTGATCGAAAGCGCTCGCAGTTGAGCACGTGACGAGTATCTGGAGGCGTTTATAAGTATGACGGGTATTCTACCACCTGTGGCTTTGAACACTACAAATCCCTACGACCAGAACATCACAAGCTGCGACGTTGATCTGGACACGAGTCATGTGTCACGCGACTTATAACATCTGCCTAAGAACCTACACGGCTCTGTAGAGCAGCTCATCATGGTGCCTAGAGCACCATTTATTATATGTAAAGAAGAACGGAAGAATTGAATTAGTACTCTCACACGCAACTCTCACACCTCCGCTTCCCACCTTCTCCTAATCTGCCACAATCGCTTCCCTTTGACTGCCCTTGCCCCTTCACGTTGACCAAGACATGTTTCTTTCATATGCTCTAACAGTCTCCTCTCTAGCATCCCACCAGCCGTAAAGCGTCCGCTGGTTTCTCTTCTTATATATACCCCGAATCGCCATATGTGATGGAAGAGAAAGCACGCCCCGCCTAAGATTAGGAGGACCGGAAAAGAAGTGATTTTATATACTGCCAACAATATACGCCCCTTTCTCTAGACATTCCTTCCCACATTCACCCTCTCGCTCGATCACACACTCCCGTCCCTCAACTTCGACTTCTGTACTTCAAACGCCTGCCCCCCTAGCTGCTTTTAAAGGATCACACGCACTCAATTCTTCTAAAACTCCGGCAACTTCGAGAAATACAATCTCTCGAATAGCAGCGTACAACAACCTCGCTCTAACCTCCCCTTACCCCTCCATCCCTCCCACTACCCCTTTCTACTCCCTATACCTCCCCTCACTCCTGCTCCCACCAGCCCCAAACCCCCTATACACCCCCTCCCTGACCTGCTTGCTCACCTCCCGCACCACCTCCTTCAATTCCCCCTCCTCCAAAGCCCCCGGCTCCTTCGCCACCCACCCAGCCCTGGCAGCTTTCACCCCCCTCGCCCGACAATTCCCGCCCACAAGCCACTTCCCCGCCGTTCCCCCAAAAACCGCTTTCAACCCCCCATCGCTCGGCTCAACCTCCACCACGCCCGCGCTCTCCAACAGCCCCTGCGCGGCCATCTCTTTCGCTACCGCGGTGACGAGCGACTTCATCTGGATCTCGCCGCCCGAGCCCGCGGGGACCGGAAACACGTAGCCCGTGGGAAGTTCGGAGATACTTTCGGAGCCGGAGATGTACATCTCCAGCAACCGCCCATAAAACCCCACCAGATCCGCGACATGCACCTGACAATTCCAGTTCTCGCCCCTACCTACCATATGCATCTTGCCCAATTTCAGCGCGTTGGAGATCAGCCAGGGGATCTGCACACTCAATCTGTTCGCGAAGCCCGCTGGGCCGGTTCCCATGCCGTGGATCGCGCTAGGCGCGACGATGGTGATGTGGATGCTTGACGCATGGGCGGGGAGCAGGAGGAAGAGGTCGGATTCGCGGTGCAGATACGTGGGCGAGATTGCAGCGAGGGATGCGGCGTCGGCGTCTGACCAGATGCGGGGTTCGGCGGTGCCGGGGACGGTGGTGGGAGAGATGAGAATGCCTGTGCCGCTGGGGGATGGGGGGGTTTAGGGTGGTGAGTTGGTTTTGAGGGCGGGAATGCTGCGGGACCTCCTCCGGGATCCAACGTACCTTGTATGCAAATACAGCGGCTTCTTCTGTGTTTCTTGAAAGCGTTGGATGAGGCCGGCGACGGCAGCGCGCGCGGAGGGGAGGTGGTCTGAATCTGCTGTGTTGATGAGGATATCTGCTTTACTTGCTTCTTCTTCTATGAGTACTGCGTCGTCTAGGGAACCGAGAATAGGGCGGATGTTGTGAGATTCTGGCCATTTCGCTTTCTCCGGCGATCGAACGAGGGCGGCGATGGTGTAGTTCGGGGGAAAGGTGATGATGTTTGGTAGCAAGGAGGAGAGGATGGAGCCGCCTAAGTAGCCGGTTGCGCCAAGGAGGAGGATGTGAGGAATGGGAGGTGTGGATGAGGACATGGCAGGAACACTGAAGGGTACGAGAGGCTTGGTTTGAGGAGATACTACGGCTAGGGAGAGAGAAGGAAGCCGTGAAGTAGGAAATAACGTCTGCTACGAAATGAGGAAAATTAGACGTATGAAAGGAGAGGTAAAGTATGAAGTTCAGGTAGAGACGTTTCCATATTCCGGTGGGTTCCGAAATGTGATGTCCGATTGGATGGTAGAGACTCTCTTTGACGAGATATCTTCGAATGTATTTTGAAGCTTAAAAATAGTAAAATGCACTTACACACCAAGATTCGGGGTCCGGGGCAGCGCTGCTGTAATATCGCTTGCAAAGATGGCTGCGGGAGCGGAGCGGAGAGCACGTGACCAGAATCCCTGGTCTGAAAGAATAGAACACCTAATGGCGCTTTTCAACTACGCACCTACTATGTACGAGATACCGGATATCAATAACCCTTCCTGCTCTCGTTCACAAAGACTACCTCTGGGTACTTCGAACTGGGGCCATCGAGCACATGCTGCCTCACACCCAGCACCAAATCCAACAACGCCTCCACAAACGTGCTGACCAAAAAGTCCATCCGCGGCGCCCATATCGTACCAAAGCTGCCTGGAATCGCGGTCTTATTCCGCATATCCAGCAGATCGACCCAATCCGCCAAATCGCTGTAGTCCTGATGCGCCGTCCCGGTGATATTAACCCACTGCCAATACCCACTCTGATTCTTGGAAAACGGCGACCAAGTCGGGTCAATCGCGGGCGTGTGCTCGCTGCCCGCCATTAGCAAGAACGGCCGCTTGACGTCCGGCAGCGAGACTTCGGGGAAGAAGCCGCCATCCAGGTTGACGCCGCCGATGATGGAGGGCTCGAGCTCCATTGCGCCCGCTGCGGCAGCACCGCCAATCGAGTGGCCTATCATGACGAAATGCGTCGTGTTGAAGGGCGCTTTGTAGCTCTCGACGAGCGGCGGGAAGAGTTTGTGGATTATCGCCTGCGCGTCCGAGATACGCATCTTGTAGACGTCGGTCATGAGAGTGCGGTTCCAGGTCGCCGTGATATCGATCCCGTAGTATCCATCGCCGCCGTATGGGAACTGCACGTACGGCGCCTCGCCTGGGTGGTCTAGCGCCAGCACCGTGTAGCCGTTCGACGCGAGGGCGGTCGTCAGGTAGCTGTACATTACGGCGTTCTCGCCGCCGCCGGGGCTGAAGATGACGGTGGGCAGGCCGGTGGAGGATTTCAGGGTGGGCGCCTGCCATTGCGTCCACGTTGTGAGGGTTTCGAGGGCGCCTTTCGAGAAGAGGAGCGGGTCGCCCCATACAGAGGCGGTCGTGGGGTCGAGGTAGGGCGCGGTGGTGTTCAGCGGGGTGGGCAGCTGTAGGGTCGGGTAGTAGATGGTCGTGAGGAGGTGGCCAGTACCGTTTGACGGCTTTACCGCGAAGGCGACGGGGTCGTTGGGCGTCGTGTGGTTGAAGACGTGCTGTGTGATGCCCACGCCGTAGGGGCCCGTTGGAGGAGGGAAGGGGATCGCAACAACGGCAGGGAGGAGCGGGAGAAGTGCGGAGAGCTTCATCGTGGTGGAGAGTGCGCAATTGAGGGCCTATGCTGTGAGGGTGAGCAAAAATGGGGTCAGCATGATTTACAGGTTGTCCATTTCGAACGGCGATCAATCTGGCTGCCGTCATGCTGCTCTTGGCTTCTTGGCCGGCGGTTAGTGTACCTGCGCTGCAGCCGGAGCGGTGCGATGTGTGCTATTACGCGGTACGAGGTTACATGGCGGTGATGGGCGGTGATGGCCTGCTCTGGTGTTGAACCGGGCGCGGAGCGAGCGCTGAGAGAGGAAGCTCGGAGGCTTCGGCACAGTGGGGGCCGAGTGCAGACGTCACCTCATCCAAGTGCGCAACACCTTCACTCTTCCCTCGCCCTCCTGAATTGATATACTATGATGCGGCTTGAGAAGGTGCTTGAGGTGATATAGACTCGTTAAACTGGGCAGAAAGATATGAATTTCTAGAATTGCCGTGGGAAAATGCCTCCGCAGCCGTTTCGCACGCTCGGGTCTTCAAGCATCGTGCATTTGGAACAGTCTTCGCTGCCTTATTCATGCGCTGCAAATCTGGCTTCTAGAAACAACTGAGTATGAGTATCCTGAAGCCCTTCAGCTTTTCGAGTACTGTGGAAGAAAGGTATAGTGAGGCGTCTGATCTGGACCGCCGAGACATGACATACACCCCCGAGGATCTAGATCTCACTAAGGCACCTCTGACAGCAGCATCCATGTAGCCAAAATTAAGTTCAGAGAGGCCGGTTTCAGACGCTTATCTAAACAGCATCAACACGCCTTCAAATCTACTGGTAGTGGCTTCACATCCTCCTTTCGAGTCACTCAAGCACGTGGAGCATATGGTCAGAAACGTAGTGAGTAGTTGTTGTATTTCAATTTGTAGTACAAGGACGAGCCTCCGATGATTCCAATTTAGTTGGTGGCCCTAGAATAGTCGCAACATCGCAGAAGAGCACGCATTCGCATGAAAGACAAAATACAACGCAAAACTCAACCGCTAAATCCAAATGCTAAATCCAAAAGAAACACAAAAGAAGACAGAGCAGGAAACATAGGAAAAGTCATTAAAAGCCCCGACCAAGGTGTGGAAAGACGTCGCCAGGTCAATCCATCCTCGTGATAGCCCCAATAATGCAAGGAAAAGTCGTAATAAGACCCCATTAGGGCCGCAAAGCTCCATCCCTCGACCCGTCGTCGGAGTAGAGCCATAAAACAAGAGATAAATCGTCGAAAGACCCAAACAAGGTATGGAAGGACATCGCCAGGTCAATCCGTCCTCTTAATAGCCCTAGAAGAACAAAAGGAAAAGTCGTGGAAAGACCCCGAAGTGGATCTGGAAGCATCAGTCTCACCACCACATCTCCCCCCGAACACCCATTTCCTACAATTCTTCGTCGTCATCATCCTCCACCTGCACACCAAAGAAATGCTGCGCAATCACACGCTTGGTCTGCGCATCGCGCTCCTTGTACTGCTCAAGGTGCCCCCTCAGCTCCTCGTTTTCGGCACTCAAGCCCCGCATCTCCCCCTTCATCGTATCCATTTCGCCGCGCATGCCCTCAATGGCCCTACGCATGTCCCCTATAATGGCCTCCAGCTCGTTGGTCTTGTCTACTGTCTTGTTCAGGTTAACAATAACCTCTGCATTGGTCTTGTCGTATACATTCTGCAGGTTGTGCTGCACCTCGTGCAGCACATGCGCCTGCTCCTCCTGCTCCTCCTGCTCCTCCTGCTCCTCCTGCTCCTCCTGCTCCTCCTGCTCCTCCTGCTCCTCCTCCTCAGTCCGATATCCGTTGAGCTCGTCGCGCACATCGTCTACACGCTCCCACAGCGCGTCGTTGAGGTCCTCCTGCGCCGTGACGTGGTCGTCGAACTCATCACGGAGCACCTCCATCCGGTACTCCGTCTGCGTGAACTTGCCATGCCAATCCCGCTGGATATTGCCGACGTCGCCCAACCAGTCGAGCTGCTGCTGGCGGAGCGCGCCGACGTCGCGGGTGTAATCAGCCCTCAGCGCTTCGACGTCGTGCTGGAGGAGGTCGAGGCGATTGATGGAGAAGCCGTTGTTGGAGGGAGCTGGTGAGCTGGCACGGGACGAGTAGTTGAAGTCGTCAAGGTATTGGGCGCGAGTGCGTGGGGTCATCTCGCGAGCTCGCGGCGACAATTCGCGAGGGAGTGACGGAATGCGAGGAAGAGGCGGGGTGTTGTTGTGGAAGTTGACCCGCGGCAAAGGAACGCGTAAGGGGGGGAGACTCGAGGTCGAGCGGCTGGGGGGGGAGTGCCTCGAGAGGACGCGGCGCCTGGGGGACGGGGAGGTCAGATCGATTACCTCGCGGTCCGTCTTGCGCTGCGGCGTTTGGAACGGAAATCCAAGACTACCACGATGTTGGTACGTCTTTGGAGAGGGAGGAGTCAAGCGGCCGCGCTTGTTACGGCGGTAGGCTGGCGCCAGATGGTCGGGGCTATCCACTCGATATAGAGGGCCATCCTCATCCTCCGGTGCCGAACGCTTCAATCCACGTCGAGGAATAAACGGAATTGGGGCTGGGGTATGAAGGCCGACGCTACTGCGAGGATTGAAAAGAGACGGCGATGGAGAGGTCGGAAACGCTCCAAATCGATCGCACGGACGCTTGGTAGGTGGACCAGTGCTGGAACCAGGAGAAGAGGAAAGATCGCGGCGGCCGCGCTTCAGATCGTGGACATTGGCATATGGTTCTGGAAATCCAGTGCGCTCGTCGAAGACTGTCTGGCGTGAATCAGGCGACGGAGTCCTCAGGAGATTTTCCTGCGGATGAGGGCTGCGAGGATAAGCACGGGGAGTGTACGGCTCCACCGTATCCCGGACTTCCTCGCCATCCATACCAGTCATCGACCGGTCGTCGTCCTCACCGTACGCGTCGTAACCATCCTCATCCCAGTCATCGTGAAGGTCTGGAGATAGAACGCGCTTATAAAATTTGCTCTCTGGCAGATGCATTGGGGAATGACCACCGTACAGGTCATTACACACCACGTCGGGGCTCCACTCCCCGGCGTAGCCGTTCCCCTCGGCCTCACTCCGACGTCTCGCATCCGCCAACATGGCCGCAGCGCGCTCCGCCTCATAGGGCTCGCGTGGATAGTAGGGAAGCGTGAAATTCAGGTTCGGCTTACGGGGCTCAGGGACGCTGTGGAGGTCATGAATCGGGAGGTCATGAATGGGAACATCGAGGATGGGAACATTGAGGTTATTAGGGTCAAAGAGATCGAAAGGACCCTCCGTGCTGTCGTCGTTGCGCCGATAAGGAGACCTGCCGCCGTAGGTATGTGGCGAAGTACGGTATCCCTGACCGTCCTCTTGGCTGTGATGTTGTTGGTTGAAGTCATTACGAACTTCTTCCAACGTCCTCCCAGCGCCGGTTTCGCTGCGAGGAGAGCTGCCGCCGTCGGGGGAAGGCATACCATACTGGCCGCCAAGGCCCATGTCTGAGGCCGGGTAGGTGACCGGATCGAATTCCTCTCGATCGTCCTGGTGGATATACTCTTCCACGTCGTAACCTCGGAGAACAACCCTGTCGTATCGAGCAGCGTGGGTGAGAGTCCTCTCCATGCTGGACTCACGGCTGGGTTCACCGGCGCTGAATCCCTCCGTGGTGGACGTGTAGAATGAATCTACAGATGGAGATCTAGAGGACAGCTGGTTGCAGGGAGGCGAGTCGCCGCGCATGGTATGCGAGGACGCTTCGGATGGCGGAGTTGGTGAACGGCCCTGGCTGATGGACTTGGCCTGGCGACGCGCGAGGGCAGCTTGCGACGCCGACTTGCGGGAAGAGCGTGTGGAGGTGGAAGAAGTCATTTTGGGATGGTGAATCGGATTTGGAGAACTGGAGATGATGGTGTTAGCTTTCGCGTATAGGGATATGTTGTCTGGAAGAGGTATATGGAAGGCTCCCTAGCAAGGCAGCGACGAGGTGATGAGGGAAACTTACGAGATTAGAGGACTTTGTTAGGTGGTGGTGGTGTGCTGCGGGAATGCCAGATCAAGGTTTGTCTGGAGACAAGCTGAGCGGGGGGAAGCTGCTGGAGATGTAGGTGGGCTGAGTGCTAAAGCTGGTTGCTGGTGCTGTTGGTAGTTGCTGCAAGATTGCAAGATTGCTTTGGCAAGGCAGTGGAGTTTGGAAGTCTGCTTTTGGTGTGGTGGTTGGAAAGAAAGCTGGTGTAGAAGAGAGGCAGGTTGGGCGCCGGAGGACGTTCTTTTATGTCCAGCATTTCGAGGTTGGATAATTCACCTTTCTACAACGAAGCTCACGCGCGCGACCTGCACGACCCGCCGCCAAGCCTTGGAAGCTCCCTCTGCTTCTCCCACAATCACTTGTCCAGAAGGTTCGTGATAACCCGCATTTTCCTTTTTAGAGGATTGGCGTGGAGAGGACTGGAGCATGGCTGGCTGGCATCAGGGGCAGTCCCAACCTGCCAAGCCTCCCCTATCCCCATCCCATTCTTCCTCACGACCAATATAACGATAGAGAGAATCAGCGAAGCTAAATCGTGTATTGAACCTACCATTAATTATGACCTCCATCATCATTCTCTCCTCATCCAGCTCATCGACCATCGTTACCCCAACGAGCCCCCGACAACCCTCCACCGTCCCACCCCCCTCCTCCCGTTTCTCCACGCCCCATTCTGCTCTTGATTCCTCCCCACTGCTGGGCTCTTCAAATGGACATCATACACGAACTTCTTGCTCGCATAAATCTCCAATGTCCTAATTTCCTCTCCCTCCCCCGCCGCTTTCTCTTCCTCTTGAATCCCAGCTTCCACAGCCGCAACATAATACCCCAACACATCCTCCTCCTCCTCCTCTTCACAGTATCCCGCAAACTCTCTCCAACCTTGTAATGCCCTTAACGCAGTCCCGGGCCTGAAACCGAACATAGCTGTGACGATGAAGAGGTCTTCTACAGGTGTGGTCGCGAGCGAGGGGCGATAGAAGGAGACGCCTGGGAGGAGTTTTTGGGTGGGTTGGATGGTAGATAGTGTCTCGAGGACGGAGTTGAGGGTTAGGTTGGAGGGGTTGTAGCCGTCGGAGGCCCAAGTGGAGATGGGGGAGGGAGGGATTCTGGGTGGGCGTATGAGCTGACGTGACTAGCGGTTGGGGGTGATTAGAGAAGGGACAGGGCAAGTGCGCGAGCAATGAAGGGAAAGGTACAGTTACTCTTCGATGAGAAGCACTGGAGTCGCATCCGCGGGGTCGTCGGGGATGCAGATGCAGAACTTGGAGAGGCCGGCGGATACAGCGTGGGGTTGGAGGGGGGTTAGGATGGTAACGACCTGAGGATATGTTACGAGGGATATTGATGCTTGGAAAGGAGTATCATGCTGAATTGGCCAGGATACAGTTGAAAATGCCATACCTTTTCCCGATCTTCTGCGGAGTTCGCTTCGAAGGTTGTGAGGTGGATGGTTGAAGTCATTATGAACGATATGAGAGAAAAGACACCGCCGCCCAGAAGGTCCTTATATAATCATTTAGTTGAAGAAATACGACGCCACTGTCATTATTATGCTGGAAAGATGATTGCAGTTGAGGCTATGGGATGGGATGTCGTTGTCTTTGAGTGTCATAGAGTGAGTGGGGAAGGCTACTGGTAGCTGGTAAGCTAGTTAGGAGCGAAGGGCCGACTCGGCGACTCTGTCAGCGGCTCGGCGGTATTGCCCGGATGGCATATGCTTGATTAGGTAGGTCATTGCGGGTGCATCCAACCAAAATGAATTGTAGCTTGTCGATGATGAGTCCTTAGAGGCTAACAAACAACATTTTGATCCTCGTCGGCCTAATCTACCAGCATAGCGCTCGGGGTCAACCATAGAAGAAGCAATTTGCAAGGTTCTGAAATAGTATTGCATAATGTTTACAGAGGACTTGAACGCAAGACAAGCCGTAGTCATTCCACACAGAGCCTTATCTCCACTGACCTTCTCAAGGCCCTGACCAGATCCGTATCGCCTTCCTCGGAGTTGCCCCCTTGACTAGATCGGTAGAAGCCCAAAGGCGGTTTACCTAGGCCCCGAAGGGATCTCTAGTCACGCCCGGTCTGGACATCCATATCAACCTTCCAAGCCCAAGCATCCCAGGGGGAAGAAAATGCTTTCATATGGTCAGGAGTGCCCCACAACAGCACAATAGATCTCATGTGTCGACAAGTCCACCCTTTCCTGCTTGGCTTCCGAATGACTTCACCTTCGAAGAATTTGACGAGGGCCATGATCAGTTCCTCGAGCATAGTAAGAGAGCAGAAGTATCTGAAGGACAGCGCAGTCATGTCGTAGAGCATCATATCCAGAATGCGCTGTTCGAAGTCCGCGCGAGCCCCAGGCCCTTTACTAGCATTATACATGATGACATCGATGATAATGCTGAACATCTTGTTTTCGGTGTTGGGGTCCTCGCGAAGGCGGCTAACTAGCTGGTCCAAAGTCTCGTTCGCGTTCAAGAAGCTCATGCCGCGCTTGACCATGTTGGTTTCCGTGCCCTTGACCTGGTCCCAATCGTCAGGTTTTCTGTCGGAACCGAAGTTTCGTTCTTGTTCAATCATTCTCTTGACGTTATCCTGGCGCTCTCCAGTGTGGCTTTCAGCAAAGCGGTAGAGACGACCGGAGTAGGATAGATTGAGTGGAGCGTTCGCAGGTGTTGCAGTATTGGACACAAGCCGGGCAATTGGTGCAGCGGGGGGGAGGGCGTTGAGATTATCGGTCAGTGGCTGCGCTCCGCCATCTCCTCCGCCACTACCTCCGTTGTGTCCTTCCTCTTTGTCCATGTCCTCTGCGCTATTCATTGCTCCATCATGGGACGCCATCGCGATGCACGAGTTCCTGTGATCAGCTTAGTGAGACAAACGATGATGAAGAATATCGCGTAGCGTGGGGCAATGTATATACATTGGAAGAGGTTTCTATTGCGTTCTAGTGACAAACGGTTGTGATGAAAATTTTGAGTTTGTGCTGTCCTGCCCAAACTTTTGTTCTAGTATTGTAGCTTGCGCTGATGAATAATGGCGACTGAGCATTGAGCAAATAGTGAGTCACCGGGCTTATTTCCTACGTAGCCACTCATAGTGAGCATTTTAGATTGTTTGAGTGTCGACTATGGCCATCACGATCTAATATGCAATGTGTGTAAAGTAGTAGTGTTTTCTCCCTTTCCTCCAATACTTATTGATAAAGATCACTCTCGAAGCACTTGGCTAAACGAATCGCCATAGGCAGCCCCCATGTCCGCATCTGAGATCCTGAACTCTGTTTTTTACGCCTTTGTTGAATGGAGACTGAAAGGCCGAAGTGTCTCCAAACTCCTAGGATGTGTTTTTCCATACTCTGTGATTGTTTCAGGTGTATCAAGTTAGAATACGTAAGAGGGATTTGATACCATGTCTGCGATGGATACGAGATAAGACAGATCTTAGAAGAGCGTCACTTGCACGTTGTCACCACGATGTCATTCAGTAATTGAAGTTGAGGTGGAATGGAGTAGCATTGTGATTGACTTTCTACGGTATTCTGAAGAAGAAGAGTCCTCTACTACAACTGGAAGCAACTACCACTATATCTAGCTGCGGCCTATGCAAGGTGTCCGAGCTTCTTGGTTGTCGTATTGTTGGGTTGAGTCGAGAAGTCGAAAGGTAATCTAGCTGGTAGTATTGCGGTAATCTCTTCGTATAGTTTTGCACAAGAAACGCGGTCCAATCCGATTGGTATGATGAGTCGCCATACCAAGCCACCATACCCACGTCTGAGATTCCGACCGATGCTTCGAACGGTAGTGTTCATATCATAATGCTTGTATGAAACATGAAGTTGACAGTATCTTCATCACACAGTGACGTACCGTTCCCTTCGACCTTCAAGAATCCGTAGTGTCGAAAGGATAGACAATCTGTTCCATTGCCCATTTTTGGTATTCAGTGCCGTACTCTGAGACCATGTAGAATACGTCATGGTATATATTGTCGGTGGTATCAGGATTCAGTATGATGAAGATTTCCTGGTACTTAACGAAAGCCAACACAAGTTCCTCGAATGTGGTAATCGTGCAGAAGTTTTTGAGGGCCATCGCGTCCAGCTCCGCAACCATATTGTGCAAGATATACTTCTCAATCACGCCTTGAGACAGTCGTCTTTTGCTCGCCCCATACGCAAGAGCATCCAGGAGAATGCTAAGCATCTTGTTTTCTTCCGTCGCCTCACGACGCAGGCGGCTGTGCAATTCTTCCATTCCCTCGTTCGCATTGCGATGTGCTTCGACCATCTTGACACCGCGAGCCGCGAAAGCTCTGTCAGGTTCAAATTCTCGGTCGCGTGCTGGTATGAATCGAATTGTAGGGCGAGAGTCTTGGCCTTGGCTTCGATTTTATCGTGAACCGTCTGGACGTAAGGGGTCTGCGGATTGCCGTCGTTCGGGAACCGGTTGATGAACGGATTTTCAAGACCGGGTACGGTGAGTGAGTTCATGTAGAGCCCATCGATGGAGTGAGTTTGTCCGATTCCTCCGCCATTGCCTTCATTCCCTTGGCTTCCGTCGTTGTTATATTCTGTTTCGTTGCAGGAGCTTCCTCGAATGTCCTCTGTGCTACCAGCTTGCTCCTCTTGCGGAAGCATAGTCATTGTCGTGATGCAGAATGTGTGCGAAATTTGATTGATGGAGATGAAGTGGGTGACGAGGTCATTACCTGGCGAGCAGCAGGATCTAAGATGGACTTAGCGCTGATTACTATGATGGGATATCTCACCGCACGTGAAAGAGAGTGAAGTTGTCATATCTTAGCGACGGGTCATCAATTCTGAAGTACGGCACCTGTTTCTCCCATGTGATGTTCTTTTACTCTCAAAAGCTTGAAGGTGTTTTAGTATCCCTTTTGGATACTGGTGATTGACGCTGTCTGAGATGGCATGGTGAGGTCAAAATCGTTCAAAGCGATCTGCTTGCACCTTTTTCCGATTCTTCAAAATACATCAAAGGACTTCATATAGTGATAGACTATTTATATAGATGTAGACCGTAGTATTACACTACCTCGAGCTCCCTAATATCCATATTCCCTCCTCTGTCCCCAAGCCCCAATTCCCACCAACCCCAACGGCCTGAACACCTCTACAAAGAAGTTTGTCGAAGCATCAATTCCCCAAAGAGTATAGTCCCACATCATCGCCACGGTCTCAATATAGACGGCCCCCTCCCTCTCAGTCTCTCCGTGCACTAAGTCTCCATCTCCTTGGTCAAAGCCGCGGAAAGGTTACCAAACATCTTACCTTCGCAAGCAGGCATGAAGCTCGAAGCATCCAGTTGGTAGGTGACTAATCCCCTCGTTCTCCCCTCCACCCCTTCTTGTGGAACTGTCACCGTTATACTGGCATGAATCGTAGCGACGACGAGGACGCCAACCACTTTGTCTTCCTATATAGGACCGAAGCGGGCGCAGCATCGCAGCTCTATCGATTCTATCAGCTATTGAGAGGGTTAGGGCGACTTCGGTCTTTGGAGATTATGGGTCTGTAAGGCGGGGGTGGTAGGACAGTTCTCTGAAAGTTTCAGAGGAGGGGTCAAGGTATTGGCGCTCGACAAAACACTCTCCAGGCTTGGAGTTTGCTTCAGCGCGAAGGGTGAGGTAAGATGGGCAGTGGGTTTGGAGACCTCTGGGTATCTGGGGATGAGCGAGTTGATAAGGTAGCTGGATGAGAGTAGGTGGGCGGGTAGCTTGGCCGTCGAGTTTGCAGCTTCCAAGTTCTGCTTGAATTATTCCTGTGTCTCGTTGGGTAGGTTGTCTACGTTTCTTCCCATGGTATTGAACCCCAGTGAGCAGAAAGTGAGCTGCACTATACTTCTTATAAACCACATCGACTTAAAGCCTTCGGGTCTGTACATCCTAGCTAGAATGAAAACGATACCTGGGAAGGCGTCAGGCGACTACTTATTTTCCAAAGACTGTACTGGAGATCAGAGAGTATCTATCACATATCAAGACATTAAGAACTGGTGAGTAACGTTGCAAGGGTTCCATGTAACTTTGTCATTTTGTATGAGGAGATTTTCCATGAGAAGACGCTCTTGAATTATCCAGGCTTCTAAGTCATAGTAGCTGACGGTTGAGGCTACCATTCATAGTCGTCATCCCTCTCCCACCAGCATTGACGCAAGCATGCTTCGACGTGGTATTTCGCACCAACAACTCTGACCCCAGCAAGCAGCATAATAAATATACCTTCCTGGTCTTCCGGATACCGAACCAGCATGCTTTCCAGAACTTTGAAGACGGCCACGACCAAATCTTCCACTGTCGTGATCGAGCACAAGTACTTGAAAGCCATGACGTCGACTCTCGGTAGGCTGGTCGGGTAAGATACGAACAAGAGCAAAAGCCGCTCAACTATCTCTTGCGAGACTGTTTCCTTGATGAGAGCGTAGGCGATGGCGTCGATAGATACGCTCAACATCTCGTCGTCGTCGGTTGGCTCGCGACGAAGGCGCATTCGAAAATCATGGAGGGTTTCGTTGGCATGACTGAGGCTCTCGATGTGCTTGATGACGGCGTCTTCGATCATTTCCGAGTTGGTCTCTCCCATAGCGATTATACCTGTACTTGTATGTTGTGATGCAGATGGAAGAGGCTCCAGTGCGAGGTGACGCTGTACCTGATCTTCGAGAAAGTCGCGATTCGATACTCGTTGACGAAGGTTTGGTGGTAGCTGCAAGATGAAGATCGGATTGTCGACGGGCACGAAGAGTGACTGGATGTACGCAGCTTCCATAAGCTTGAGATCTGACACTCCTCCATCTTGAATGTTGTCATCGGTAGCTCCTCCGTGCTTGTTTCCTTCAGTGTTCTTCCCTGCCTGGTTCCCTCTCATGTCTCCTGCCTCACCGGGAGAGTCGTCTTCAGACTCCATGTTGACGGTGTAGGGTGAATGGGGTGGTTGAAGTGAGAAGAAGAGATTCGCTCGACGGTGAAGCGAAACAGTCGTTTGTAGGCTGTGGCTAGTGTAGATGACTAAAACCACGTCACTGATCGTGGCGCTGATATCTTGGGTGTCGCCCACGTTGGCACGAAGTAGGAGTGAGATGCTCTGCAGTGAGGCACCCTAGCGGATGAGATCTTAAACACTGTAATATGGCTGACTGTTTAGGATCTCACTTTCGTATCTAGTATTGCTTCAGCTGCTCCAAGGATTTCGTGGGATTTCACGTGAGGAGCATCTTCAGCGGCGATTTGTGATATGTAGATACTCTACACAAGCTCATAGACATGGAGATCTTGAAGTTAGAACGACATTTGGGGAGCTTCATAGTGTTTCCAAAAGATGTTGGACTACATTGTATCAAAGTGGTGCCATTTTGGAGGACTGGGGAGTACTTGAAATTCTGAGGTGAACAGGCAATTCGGCAAAGACGAGCCAGCATGGCTGCGTAATTCTGATCTGATCCGCAAAGCCCGAATTCCCGCATGATGCTATTCCAAAGTATCCGCGACCTTTTAGAACTTGAAAATGTTTACAGCATGTTAAAGAACCCATGTCCACGACGGCGATGCCCCCGTAGCTTAGCCCTTCAACTCTCCACGCTCCCACATATGCGCAATACCGAATCGAATGCCATCAGGGTCATCGCTGAGAACTTTAAGAAGTGCATCCAGCTGACCGTCGATATTCCCACTATCATATGCCATCGCCCTTTCGTTCAATTCGTACTCGGTACGGCATCGGTACAAACAAGCTGTGACGTCTATCTGGCAAAGTGCCATTCTGACCAGGCCCCACACTCCATCCGAGTCCACTGTTTGAACGTCGATATGCTCAGACACGTATCTCTTCAGGACGCCGCGCAGGTGATACGTCTCTATCAGCGCACCATGTGGATCTTGGCTAAGGAATTCCTCATATTCGCGGTACATCTCCCGGTCGTCCTCGGTATCTTCCTGATCCTTAGGCTTGTGGAGCGCCTTGAAGTATTCGATCATGGCTAATTCGAGGTTGGATTCGGTGGGGTTTAGGGGCCGGATGGTCGGATAAGCTGTGGTCTTGTGAGTAAAGTTCGAATGAACGGGAGGCGGCGCGCAGAGTACTTACCGCGTTTTGCGATAGACATACTCGCGAAGGCAGTACTAAGAGACGCGTCATCGGAACTGTCCGGTTGCGGTGTAATAACCTTCTCCAGGATGTGCTGCCCACCGAGGTAGAACCCAAGCTTGAACAAGTCGTCCGCCGTGAGGTGCGTTGCGTTCTCCCAATTTTGCCAACCATTCGGAATGTAGTGACGCTCAAGGTCATCTTCGCCGGCCAAGGCCAGGCGCGAAAAGACGGCGCTGATCTCTGCCATGGTAGATTGAGGACCATGTAGTCGAGTGACGCGGTGATGCTACGCTCACGGATATGCTGATGGTGAGGAGAGTTTGTTCTCTGTCGGCCTGGCAACGGAGGTAGATAGTGGCCTCTATAAGCTAGCATGTGGTATCGAAACATTGCGCAGTCACCTTTTTCGATGAATAGGGATTAGCAGTTCAGGCCATTTTATGCTGTCCTCAATTCACGTCAAAGTCAGGGATGTAGAGTTTTAGGCGGTGATAAGGCATAGCTGCCATACATCTGAAATGCTACTCAATGCAAAAGTGATGGCGAGCATGTCTATATCAAGAAGAACAGAAGAGAAACAGACAGTGAGGAAGAAGTTCCGGTGTGATCCTTCCGCGACTTTTTCGTTTCTCAAATAGTATCCTTTCCCGCCAGGATACCTGCCCAGAGTTCGCACATGTACTGTTGATCAGGGATCGAGATCTTGGTAGCACCATAACACCGCAGGCCTCATGACATACTATTCCCAGGGAAAGTCCCGTGGGAACGTGTCAAAGTCGCCCATGATAACCTTCGTCATTTGCTCCACGTCCTCCATGAACTTCGAGCAGTCATGTGATATAGCTCCCAAGACAGCGTCTAGCTGAACTTGAACGTACCCAATCACAAACCCACTGGAAATCATTTTAATGTTGTCTATATTCTCATAAGATGTCGATCTCGATCTCAAGTACGTCGACTATCTCTTCCCAAAGAGGATCGGCTTCCAAGACGTCCATGGGAACGTATTCTTTGACGTATTTCTTGAGCACTTCGAGTAGATAGAAGGTCTCGATGAGGATTGAAGGAGGCGCGAGACTCATAAAGTGGTAGTACTTCTGGTATTCCCAAGTCCTCTTGAGCGAACGAGGTTGCAGTAGTTGAGCATGGCTTCAGAAAGCCAACGGGCATGATCCAGTGCAGAAATGGGACGCGTAGACTTGATAGAGTATTCAGCTTAAGACGTGTTAGTTATTAGAACAATAGAGAGTCTCGCATTAGCATGCTTACTGCAAGTGTCCGAATGAGTGTCTTCTCCCTTAGATGGCTTAGAAGAAGTTTGGCAAGAGTGCGTGGATGTAGCTTCGTTCTGGAGAATACGACGGTGGCCTAGCTTTACTCCGAGGTCCTTCAGATCTTCTTCCGTGAGCATCCTGAACGTGGTCCAGTCTTCGACGCCATTCCGCGTAAAAGTGTCGCGATATTCCTGCAGACACAGGCGTGTGAGGATGGCAGTGAGGTCCGCCATCGTCGAATGAGACCCAGATTTGGCGGAAGAGGATGAGGTGGAACAGTACTAGAGAAAAAAAATTCAAGGGAAGCATCTCCTGGTTAGTGGGGTAAGGCGGCCCATGCAGCCGGCTATTCGTCGGCAACTTGAGGCGGTGAATGGCGGCGAAAGAGGTATAGAGTGGCTTCGAAGACTTGGTAAAAGGCTGCGCTCTACAAATCGTAGAGCTGTGTGCCTCCTCAAAGGTATACTTTTTAGGAGGCTGTAGAAGTATACGAATCTAATCCATAGGAAGACTTACAGAGGATTCCACTAAAGCACGAGCAGGTACGAGATCACGAGGGGATCACATTAGAGCATCATTCGGCGGCTGATGAAGAATCGTCCTAATGATCTATCATTGGCAAGGATATATGAGCTTGATGACTCCAAAGCGCCCCATATATCCGAATACCCCAAGACCATCCCTGATTCGATCACGTAGACAAAATAGTCATAGATACCCACCTGTCGTGTCTCCCAATGCAACCTCCCTTTGCTGCCTCCGGAGCTCATTGAACGCCGTATCATGGTAAGGTGCACCATCAACGCTATTTGTAGCTCGAAGACCGCTTCTGGGCATCACCAGAACCGTTGATGACATTGAAGTGCCGAACCGCAAGCTCAACTCTCCGAGCGTCATAGCGATCGTCAATCGTCGACAGAGTGGCATGAAGCTCACCGAGGAGGTGCCCCACCTGATATGGATCCGCCATGTTGATTCGACCAAATTTCCAATCAATTTCCAGGCTCTTGATGCGGTCGAAAGCGCTGTAGAGGGAAGGGTGGGACTGAAGGAAGTTGCTGTATTCGTGACTCTCTCTGCTCCGGGGGTGGCTGATGGCGATGAGATTATCAATCATGATGTCGACCAAGTGCGCATCTAGAAGTTCTTAGTGTCTAATATTGAAGAGTCAAAGACATTAGCGGGCTTACTCTTCATAGCGTCACTGTAACTGATTGATTTCTCCCGCACAGCCGTAGGATAAACCCCGGTGGAACGACCCCGAACGGCGACTTGCTCTCTATCGGAGGGGCGGCGGGTAGCGACCTCACGTTAGAGAATGCGGCGATGACCAAGTTTGATGCCCAGCTCCTTCATGTCTCTTTCCGTAAGCTCCTTGATTGTCTCCCAGTTCTCAACCCCGTTCTCACGCAAGGTCTTTATGCACTCTCCCAAGCCAAGCTTCTCCAGCACGGCATCGAAGTCTGCTGTAACAAGATCAGTGACTGAGAGGGCTAATTGATGGCTTTTGAAAACTTACTCGGCGGAGGAGAGGCCATACCAGCATTTGACTCCACTGGGGTGGCACAGCAAGAACAGTCGCCCGCAGCTTAGAGATTCTCAGTGTCCTTCATCAAGGTTTGGCGATGTTCCGGCTTGACTCCTAGCTCCCTCAAATTGATGTCCTCGAGTGTGAGAAACTTCTCCCGGGTGTCGACATCGTGTTCAACAAATACATCATGGTACTCTTCGAGGTCAAGCCTCTCGAGGGTCCAAGTTAGGAAGTCCATGATGAGCTGAGAGGTCAGTGGTGGAGGCCAATGGAAGGGAAGTCAACGGGCAGTGAGTTGCCTTGAAAGAGAGATCGATCTCACGGACGTGGGGCATTGGACCGGTGCATATGGGTACAAACGGCAAAGAAACTAGGCAAAGGTGGTGAATGGCAGTTTGAAATGACTCGTTTGTTTGATGAAGCGTCGAACTAACCACTACATTCTCCCAACGAAAGTTGACTGTATAGCAGTTGGCCAGCTCTGAGGCAGCGCATCATGTTTATCGAGAGTTCAGACCGATGATCCGACCCCCAGTCCCAACTCTTGAAAACACGCTCAGACTGAAGGAGCGTAAAAAAACGTGTCTATATTTCATTTTGGGTTCGTACTAGGCCATCCTTTGCCCTATCTACCCCTTACTAAGCCTTTTTAGGTGGCCATGGTATTATGTCATGCTGGATTGAATAGCTGTACTCAATCGTATTAGTACGTCCAACCACCCCTCAAATTCAAGTCACCCAATCCAATCGGTCCAGATATCTTGAAATCGGCCCACCGTATTGCTAACCACGTTGTACGGGGCCCTGTAACTTTTACTATGCGAACTTGCTGCTAAAAGCGTAGTCAATAGGTAATAATGGGGGTGAGCGCACTGTGGAGATACTTCAAAACTTGCGGTTTCGTTCATGTTCTCCAGAAACACTTCGGCATCACGTTTCGAGGTTTGAAAAGGAGTTAGGGAACCACTAACGGTAACAAGCAGGTGTCACAAGACCTCACAAGGTGCATTTTGAATCAGATACTAGAGAACTTTATATTGGTTTTGAATAGCATCCTGATAGTGTGCTATCCTGCCTCTGGCTAGCTATAATTCCGTGTGTTGACGACTAGAAGGATTGGAGAAGATGATCTAATCCGTCTCCAGGACAGCCCAGGTCTCGTCGTTAGTAGTCGTGTAGATGACCCCCAGCCCCAGAAGCTCATCTCCAGCTGCAGCAACATCGTCCTCTTCCAAGTTCAGTCGTTCGGCGATGTCGTCTTGATGAAGACCTTCGCTGGTTTGAGGGGTTGTCTTGAGGCACTAGTAGACATCCCTCGCTGTTTCACTCCATCCGTCTGGGTCAAATGACGGTTGCGGAAGGTTATGAGCCTGAACCATCAGAAACAGTTTGATGACATCCGGCGTAGATTGGAGACGGTTTTGGCAAATAAATTCAGAGTACTTGATCTCAATGCCATCCTCAGTGAGCATGCTGCTGATCTTGCCGAGCAATTGGGGGGTTATGGTCTGTCCTTGGTCGGCGAAAACTCGACGGGCCCACGCAAGGAGGCTATCATCTGAAACTTGGATATCGTCAGTAAGTAGTGAAAAGAGGACTGTTTACTGGAAGATTGACCCTGACCATTCCCGTTGCCCTTAGGAGGTTCACTATCCTCCGAAACCTCAGAAGCTTGACCAGAGTATTTTCGTTGTGTAGTGATCTCATGTTGCAGGATACGACGATGGCCCAGCTTGACCCCGAGCTCCTTCAGATCATCCTCCGTGATCTTCATCAGCGTGTTGCAATTTTCGAAACCGTTGTCGACGAAAGCATCGTAGTACGCTTCCAGCCCCAAGCACTTCAGCGTGGACGCGAGGCTTGCCATGGTGTGGTGGACGAGGTTGAATCATCCGGTGATGTTGTGGAGAGAAAGAAACTCTTTGGTGAAGTGATGCGCCTTTCGAGGAAGTGAGACAGAGTAACGCTACCCAGGCTGGCGCAGCCAGAGTTTGGCGGTGAAGAGAAGAATGCTGTCTTGACACAACAAATGGTTCATCACAAAGCCCTCTCACCAAGTGAAGTGTTTTGAAACTCTCTGGAAGTCGGATATCGCGCTCTCTAATAGTGATCTGGTATACATGCCTGAAAATTAGACCTTACTTCTTGGACTCCGATGCTGTGCTAGAGAACACCAAATGCTGCTCAGCTAATAGAAATGAAGAATAAAGGTTATCTGATCTACGTTTTCTCTTTCGTTTGGACTGTGGAAATTCGTGAAGACACTACATAGCGTAGCAAGAAGATGTACGCCGACTGACTACAACGCGTTGTCACTAAAGACGGGAATCGTGGATATTTGAGGGGCCGTTCGCACTTTTCCAAGCGATTTCGTCTGTGTGTGTGAAATTATGCATACCCGCTGTACCCTTTACTGTAGACAATTGGCCCGAAACCGTGCAGACAAGAACCTAATTGGTGACCCCTCAAAGGATGTCCCGCACAATCTACGCCGCGTGCATCATTCCCCTCTAAAACTACTGCCTCCTCTCCAATAATCCCCCTCAGCGGCCTCTTCGTTGTTTACTTGTGACTATAGTTCCTGCAAAACGTCACGAATAGTCTCCAGCTTCCCCGTATATGTTAGCCAGAACACCTTGTGTGCCGATTCCGTAGGACGAAAGCGCTGCTCGTTGAGAAAATGCTGGAAGCTCCGCTGCTCGGTGTCGAAGACCTGCATAAGGCTTTGCATCACCGCGTGGAGAATCGGACAGCCCTGATCGGCGTAAACTCGACGTGCAAAGGTGTTGAATTCTAGTCTTCCCCCTACGCCGTTGTGAGTAGTAAGTACTTAAGTAGGCTCAAGGATCTGGACACCGACCGGGATCGTAGACGTTTTGCGCACCTAGAGGCGCACTTCCTTCGAGTCTGTGATACTCGGCAATCTCTTCCTAAAGTATGCGGCGATGACGGATCTTAAAGCGCAGTTCTTTCAGGCCGTTTGTTGTGATCACGAGGTCAAAGCTCCAGGTTTCGAAGCCGTTGTTGACCAGCGCGTCGTGGTATTATTGTAGGCTGAGCTGCTCGAAGAGAGAAGTGAGGCCTGTCGTGGTGACCCAGGAGAGAAGTCAGTGCCATCGGAAGGCTTTTGGAAAGAAGGGGGGCGCAGTCCGGTTGCTTATCGAATGCTGGATGACGGTGCCTGAGGTAGCCTGGCAAGACTTCAGATCGGCTAGAATAGATGCTGCTGAAGTTCTTGAAAGGTAGTCAGTCACATCAGGCGGCAACAAGTATGTGCACACACCTTCACCCTGGTGGTCCCAGCAAAGGGAAGGCAAGAGACAAAAGAAAGATTATACTTCAAAACTTATCGTAAATCACGTACGGGGATGGAAATAAATTGTGTGAATTGCCTGGGATATCTCAAGTCGCAGGGAAATAGATAGATAGATGTGAGCATAGCTGCATGAGGAGAGCTCGCCAGCTCAGGTTCAGGCATCTCGAATCTTCAAGCTCGACTCCATTCCGCTAAGCCAGCCAAAAGCTCTACTGAATCCTTGAATGTGAAGTTGAGAGAGTAGATGAAGTGCAAATAAGAGGTCAGACTGTGACGGCTCGTTCAGCGTCGTGACCTGAACACTTAAAAGGTTCTCCGTAGATGTCCAACTCCCAATCTTCGGGTTCGCCGCGGTCAAACTCGAGATTCAAGCCCTGGCATAACTGCTCCCTCCTTTCTTTGTTGTCCCAGCCTATGATCTCATCGATGGCGTCAAGTTTGCCTTCGGTGTGAATTATCAGGTTGTCTATAAACAAACACCCAGGTTGCATGTCGCGCTCGAATGGTAACTGGTGCACTTCCTCGTACATAGTCCTCACGGCTTTTTAAATACGATCGAGTTCCCGAGCGCTAGAGTCGTCTCGGGTTTTAGTGCCTTGGTAGAACCAGAAAAGGTGCCGAGCTTCCTCATTGCGATGCATCCTGGTCTGGCGGGCGAATTTGCCCCACTCCTCGTTCTCCGTATTGCGGGCTTGCATGAAGCAGCCTATCATTGCCATGTAGGCTTGACGTTCTATGTGTATTCTCAGTGAGTACAATATCGAAAAATTGCTGTCGAGGCCACTTACTTTCATCAGAACCACTGAAAGAGGCCTCTAGCGCTTTGACACCAATGTCATCTATAATCAGAGTGAGTTAAGCAATGACAAACGTATTGCACACGAGTTTACCTAGAAGATATGCTTTGCATGTCTTGCCGGAACCACCATCTGACTCCTTGACGACTTTCGCAGCAGGACCACCTAAGAGCATCTCAAGTTAGCGCATATCCCCTGACCAATATCATTTCTACCTGCCTTGGCAATCCGCTTTGCGCTTCTTCTCGGATCCTTCACCTGATTCCTTCGCCGCCTGACCGTGCTGCTCGGGATGTTCGCGGAAGCGAGTAATCTCCCGCTGCAGAAGACGTCGATGTCCACGCTTGAACTCGAGTGCGCTCAGGTCGTCTTCCGTGATCTCAAGAACCGTGTCCCATCGCTCGAATCCGTTGCTGACGAGTGTGTCGTAGTATTCTCCGAGCCCGAGCCGCTCGAGGATATGCTTGAGCTCCGCCATGATGAAGGTGTGGTGGTGGTTGTAATGTTGACAGAGGAGACGATGAGGTGGAATGCTATATATACTGAAGTGAGGTGGTTGGTCCGGTGGCGTGCTCGTCACCTTGCCGTCTTAGAACGGTTGGACATAGAGGAAAAAGGTCCAACTCGGATTCATCGAAACCACGCTCAAAGTCGAGACTCGAGCTTTGTCAGTTGCTCCCTCGTTTCCACGTTGTATTTTCACCCATGATGCCCATGTGAAATACTGTTGAATATTCAAAGAGTGATTAAAGCATGACATAAGACAGTCTACGAGCTGGTTGAACCCAGAGCCACCTCAGAGAGCAATAATTACATGGCATACAAGCCGCATGGGAGGATAACCACGGCTCCGTAGAGGTTTTCTGAAGCCTTGTCTTCCGTAGTGATACAAAAGCCTTGTAGAGGCCATAATTCCAACCATGCATGTTCCCATCCTAGTAGCTGCCCGTTCAATTCCTACGGATGGAGACGAATTTGGAGCACATCATTTTGGCTATGTGAGATCCATCTGAAGCATTGCCCGAACTATACCGATCGATGTCGAACACTATGTATACGACATCACGAAGGAATTTTTTCTTCTGTGAGTCCACATTCATCTCGTTGTCATCGGCTGATTTCAGCTAGTCTCGAATGCGCTGAACCGTTGACGCCTCCAGCATCCAGAATAACTGATATGTGTCTTCCCTGGCACTGAGTTCATGCCGGCGGAGAAATTCGGCGTAGTTATCGTCTTTGAATTGGTCGAGGTAATAGAGGTGACAATCCATTCTTTCAGGAACTACGCGGCCCTGTTGCGTGAAGGTAGCATAGGCGAATTGACGGAAGCTGTGGTTCTAGAAATAGCCTTATAACACGTCAATTAAAGCACATTAGAAGACGTACCAGTGGCTGACTTACTCAACGCATTGCTGTTGCCAGAAGAGACTTTCTCAGACACCATGAAATGTGGGTCAGACCGACCACGCACGATCGCGATCTCCCGCTGTAAAAGGCGCCGGTGGCCAATCTTGAAACCCAGCCGCTTCAGATCGTCCTCTGTGATCTCGAGGATGGTGGACCACTTGTTGAATCCGTTGTTTTCTAGAGCGGCTTTGTATTTGTAGAGGAAGAGATCTTCGAGTATGCGAGACATGTACTCTAGCTCCATGTTCTCGGGTTTGACGCGAGACTTTCTCTCCTCCGACCCCGCGGCGGCGATCTCCCGCTGCATGATGCGTTGATGTCCTAGCTTGAATCCAAGCTCTTTCATGTCGTCATCGGTAATCTCTAGAAGAGTCTCTCGGTCCCAAAAACTGTTGTCGCGCAGGACGTTGAGGTATTCGCTGAGACCCAGGGCCCAGAGCGTGCTGTAGAAGTCCGAATGGGAGTTGGTGACGTTTGGCTCTGGCGAAACCAAGGCAGCCTCGCCAGTGAGACTCCAACTACTAGAGATTGCCATGGTGAATTTGACTTGGCTGGGAGGCAGTGGTGAGGTAGTGTGGCAAGCCGAAACCACGAAGGGTTCGCGCGTCGTTGTGGCAGATCGGGAAGATCCGCATTCGCGTATTCACATGATCTTGGGTTGGGCAATGTGGCGGTGCCTGTAAGACATAACTTCAATACCCTAGGTACATCCCTCCACGACCTCTCCATACTGAATCCTGCCACTCTATCCCTCACTGCTGCACCTGCACCTCAATCAAATACCCATCCGGATCCCTCACAAACACAAACGCCGCAACCAGCTCCTCCAACGCCTTTGGCAACACCGGATCCTTCCCATGGAGCCCAAAATAAACGCCAAAATCCTTCGAAGGCAATTCCCCAACCTTCTTCTCCACCTGAATATTCCTCGCAATCAACCGATCCTGAAAAGCCTGGATATCCGGCACAATCAGGCCAAGATGCGAAAACCCAAAAACAGCAGAGTCAATATGCTTATTTTCCTGTCGATCTCATTAAGACACGCACCACAGCAGCACCCCCGCGCTAGAGACAACTCACACTCGACCACACAAGCTCCAGCAAGCCCTCCGAATTCCACTGGTCCCGTGCCATCTCCGCTCCGGTCTGGTACCCGGTCCCGTTCCGCCCGCCTTGCGCGTGTCCCATGTACACGATTGCGAAGTCTGCCGAGGCTTCGTACGTGAAGATGTGCCGGAGGCCTAGCACGTCGCCGTAGAACGCGCGGCTGGCGGTGAGGTTGCGGACTTGGATGGCAATGTGGTTGAGGTTGAAGCCGACGGTGGTGGGATCGGCGGGGCCGTCTGTGCCGATTGTCACGGGGGACTGAGCGCGAGTTTGAGGCGGGGCGCAAGAGAGAGCTGGAGTGGAGAGGGAAGAGAAGGCAGCCAATAGGCTGAGGAGAGTTGAGAAGGGGAGAATCATGGCGGAGAAGGAGTAGAGTTGAAGTTGGTTGGAATTGGATGCAGTGGAGGACAAGATGATTGAGAGTATGGAAAAGCGCGCCTTTATGACAAAGACAATAAACTTAGAGGGCTGAGGAAATATATAGACCTCAGCAGTAGTTTATATATAAACATTTGGGACAGCTCGCTGTTTTTTCGGACCGAGAAGTCACGTGCCGCGTTATCTCAACCTCAGCCTTGCACATTGGCGTACTTGGCGTCTTACCGGCCGAAAACGCATGCATATGATTTGCCAGAATTTTACGAGCGGGCGAAAGGTTTTGACGGGATCGACGTGAATTACTGCCTTGTCCCTGCATAATCTCAGCATCAGCCCCAAGGTCGGCCAGCTTCCAAGGCGCCAAGAGCTCGATTTCACCGCACGCAGCGCTCCGTCAATTCCACTTGCAATGCTTATTGAAAACGACGATCATCTGGGAACCGGATCCAAAGTTGAGACACAGCCAAGTGCGCTTACAGAGGGGCCCCGGATTTTGAAAAATTGAAATTCTGGTGTCAATCTACCGTGGCTATCCTCGGTCTTCATGAAACACCTAGGCCAATCACGACTTGTCTAGAGCATTCTCTATATCTTTAAGAGGACTGAGGAAGAGTTGTATTTGAAATTTGCTGTGGGTCTTGCAGGGGACGCTTCGAAGCTAAGTCTTTTGAATTCGGGGAGCCTCTGCAAACACGCATGGCCGTATCCTCGGACTGATTCGCAAGTCGTATATTTGTAGAGAGAATTAATATGAGACGCTTATCTTTACATGCGACCGGGGATGGAGCAAGTGCCGGAGATGTCAGGATGATAGTTGCCACCACGAATTACTAAAATCGATACTGTCCAGGTATTCCGCGAACTGGTCGTCTCCGGCGAAGCCGCCCTCCCCCCATGCTAATTGCTCAGAAAGCGGAGATTGCGAATCATCTCCAAGCACCACCACCGGGGTTTCCGTGACATTGCTGAAACCTCGTGAGGTCAGAAGAACCTCTAGTTTGTCCCTGATGGTTCGTATCACCATTCCACATCTATCGTGGCTGCTCATGGCTTCCGAGCTACCAAAGACATGGTCCGCCATGGCAAGAATCCTCTCGCGATCGGCCATGTTTGGGTCCTGGTAAAGGTCCATGAGAAGGGAGAATAGACTGTGGTATTGCTGATACGCTCCGGCATACCACGCCCATGGTGCGAGGTCTGGATCTGTCTCTAGCAGCGCTCCGCTTTCAATTATGGTCAGAGCGGATTGGATGTACCTAGAAGACGTTAGTGCTAGGGAGAAAATGTGTATCCATCGTTCTCACCTCTCGCGCAGTACGCGATCACCATGCTTCACGACTTGCTCGTACACTGTCATTGTCACACATCGAGCAAGCAGCAGTCTAGCAACCATTTTTGCGCACTTCTGCACCGGCACTCCTTCGTCCAGAAATTTCAGGTAGGTATCTTCGACGTGAAGTCGCCTTTGATCAATGGACTGTAAAACGTCTGGAAAAGCCACTTGCCCTCGTCTGATCCTCTCGCGGTCACGAAAGATCTGTCTATGGATGTCGTAGCATTCGTATCGAATCAACGAGAAAGTAGATTGGGTGAATTCGAAGTTCTGGGATACGTCGAGTGCGACGTTCAGATCCTGATCAGCTATATTGACAGGGTATTGCATCTCTCCAGTATACGAGGTGAGCATTGGGCTTGGCCCTTGAGCTTCGGCTGTCCTGAGATCGTAAAATGCGAGCTGATGCCACACTAGTCGTCTCAACTGAATCTGGCCAGGGTTGCCTCCCGTTGATAGTTCATCAAGTCTGGCCATCTGCGCTGAGCGGATAAGGGCTCCAACGAAAACGGAATGGGACCGAGATATCTCCGCGCGACATTGGGGTATCTGCCTGAGTTAGTTTCATTCCGGAGTGTTTTCAGGGTTGGGGCCCTGACGAGATAGATACAAACAGCCTGTAGCATGGTCATATCGGAGGAGGTCAACACATCTCCGGCTTGAAGATACGACTCCGTGGCTGCAATTAGCTTGCTCACCAAGGCAGGTTTCGACATCATGAGCTTTGACTGAACTTGAAGAAACGGCATGCTAGTTGCGGCAGCGAAGCATACCGCCAAGATCAATGTCTTCGTCGCCATTAGTCCTGGGTGGTGTAGGTTCTCGTAAACTTCATCGACTTGTGGTTCGAATGAAACTTTGTGAAGTAGGTGTGCGATAGGATCGACTGCCAGGAAGTATTGGTGTGCAAAAATGTCACATTCTGCGCGTGTGGGAAAGTATGGGGGTTCTTCGCCGGTCGCCGGGCCTGGGCGAATGAGGGAAACCAGAGGGAGAGGCTTGAACCAAGCGACTAGCGGGGTACAAAGGGCATTCATTTCTGGTTGCTGTGGTCTATCATTTTGCGGTGTTCCTCCTTTGGAAAGGATGGCGTCTAGTATTCTGACCATGTCCGGTCGTAATACACCGCCGACCCGCTCGGTGATGCTGAGCTTCCCCAGTTGGAGACATACATCATTAAGATCAGGACGCGACGCACTGGTGTATCCGGTGGATGCAATAGATGAATGGGTCTGAGACGTCGCGACTGGAGTCTCTGCGGGGCACGCCGACTCTGGAGCAGAAATTGCTTCAGATGGCGAGCTGTCGGTACTTGGGGCGCTGGAATTTTTCCTGCTAGGAGTCTGGGATGTATAGATGCAGGTCCTGGAAAATTGCACACAGGTAGAACAAGGTCGAGGGCAGGACTTGCTGCACCGAGTCTTGCGTTGGCGACACTCGGTGCATTGATAGATTGCTCTGGAGCGTTTGTGGGGTGGTCGAGGTGTCAAAATCCGGCTCGACTGGGTGATCATTATGAAAAAGGCTTAGAAATAGAATAGGAGAGCTGGATAAAGGTAAATGAGCAATGGTCCGACTCTTTTAGCTTTTAGAACATCTTATTTGAAGGCCCCCAAAGTCCTGCGGCGTCGATCCATAATAAGCGGCGTCAGCTAGAGACGAAGCAGGAAGCATAATGCGCAGTGCCAAGAGAAAAAACGTCGGATGACTGCATACGATGCCAGTGATCTCATCCTCATTCGTGGACGAGAGGCTGAGAGGCTGAAGGGGCGAGGTTGAGGAAATTTCAGGCGAGAGGCCAAGCCGTTTCCAGCGCTAGCGGATGCTGACATGACTACTTCTATCTCAACCTCCAGCGTCAATCTATCGCATCGCCCCTACCAAAACACATCGAAGTTCTAAAGAAGTCAAAGCTGTCTTTCCATTTCGCAGGCCCGAAGCCATGTCGGTAGAAGTTCTGCGATATGGAGAAAGGATTGGGCCTACCTCTGCGAACTTGAGAAGGGCTTTCCGTAGGGTTCTGGGTGACCTCTGTCGTCTTAGAGGTGGTGATTGAGATTTGACGGTCGACGACGCTGTGCAGTACAGGCACGTGTACCCCTAGCGGAGTAAATGAGGTAACCAATGACGCATGGCTTGGTCGGTGTCCAACGGCAAGGATTGATTTCAGCTTCATCCGGAGCGTTAAAAAGTCATCTAAAAGGCCCTAGGGGGTATACCAAGTTCAAAATATCAGGGCAGAGTATAAGGGCAAAACTGATAGTGATATGTCTTTGATTGACTTACTCCAGAGAGGACATGGAGGCCATGCAAGTAAACACGATTCTCTCAGGTCTGATCCCATGACCTAAAACCTTCTTGACAGCCCCTGGTAAACATGCTGCCGGAGAGCCATTCCAGATCCAGAAACAAATTAGATCGCTTCATGGGTTTTGCCCTCTCTTCACCCTCTGCTTCTTCGCCGGCGGCTCTTTCCTCACCGACGGCTCCCTTTTCACCGTCTCCACCTTCCTAGACGGTTCAGCCCCCTCTAGCGGCACAATATTTGTGATTTTGTACTTGTGGTACTTTGCATACAAGTACAGAAACTCGGTCTTATAGGGGTAAGATTCATCGTCGCAAGATTCGCCATCGCCTCCAAACCTCATAACGAAGGTCAACATCTCTCCTAAGATAATGTCGATATCTTGAGGGGCGCGCTCCATTTCGGACACGATAGTATTCACCCAATTCAGGACGATACCGTTAAAGGAACAGTCGGATCGAAATCTCGCTAGCTGGATGCTGTTCATCTTGGGCTCGATCCATCTGACGATATAATTCTCGACGTCCGCCTGGCGTGGGAGCTCAGCGAGCTTAGCAGAGTAGTAGCCCGTGCACATCATGAGATGTAGCATCTTTCCCCGAGGAGTGCTAGAGTTTTGAAGTTGGCATCCCATTTTATTAAGTTCTTTCTTGCGGTCCCTAGCGGCAAGGTTTCGGTCCGACTCCTCGGATGCTGTTGTGCTCGTCGACATGACTATATGGCCTTGAGTGAGAAGTAATGCTAACAGAAGTTCGGGACACTGACGAGATCCTCTAACTTACCTAGCAGCTGCTGAATCACCGTCCAAGAGTGCTGCAAGCGACCTCGAGGTTTTCGTTGTTGTCCGGGGTCTGGAGGCGGAGAAAAGAAGTGAACGAGCGAAGAAGTGGGTATTTGGACTCGTCTCTCGGAAGGTCCGTAATTCGCGTGCGCGGTAAGCTCAACGTGACGTAGTAGGCGAGAATAGACGATGTGTGCGCTGTATTCGATGACGAGAATGATGATGTAGAGCAGAGAGAGTGAGAGAGGCCCAAAGGAAGGCGAGGCTATAATATACGTGCCTGCCGTGGCCCGCGCCGCTCCTCCCTAACAGCCAATGAATGGGCCTGTCCATGATGCCGTCTGAGGAGTCACGGCCAGCTGACATGTTTTTTTCTGAAAACGCATCTCTTCGTCCGTCCCGAAGCTTGGGGGGTCTTTTCATGCAAACTTTAGATAGGTGAAAAAATAATCGCGAGCTAAAATGCCTCGTCATAGAAATCCATGCACTCGTTTACCACGGCATGTGGAGCTTCATACGATTTTCTGCATTCTAAACAAGACGGTATTTCGGCATTTTGGACAACTAGTAAAGTCGCGAGGCTACCTCACATAGCGTCAACGGCGCGTATTTAGATTGGAGGTGCCTCTGCTGCTCCCGGCTTCCATTAGTACGTGAGCCCCACAAACAGTGGCAGATATTTGTACAGATATCTATGGCAAAACCCTGTCGTCTCCGTCCCAGAAACCTGCTGCTCCAAGATAAAAGCTCCCAAATGTCACATAGCAAGAGTAGAGTAAGACAGTGTAGCGAGACAGCTTGATTAAAGTCCCGCTCTGAAGAGTAGAGAAGATAGACCGGTCTGACTTTGTCCCTTCGACGAATCCGGTAGCCTTAGGAGTGACACGACACTGTCTAGACAATTTCTTGGTATCCCGTTGCTCCTTCTGCGCGGACAATCCCCTTAGTTCCTTCAACCCAATATCCACTTGACATTCTAGCCCACCACGTTAGCTGCGAAGGTTATCTTGTTTTCGGTCACCAACTCGACCATGTTGTGATGCTTAAGGTAGAGGTAGAGAACCTTTTGTTTCTTGTCTGCGTTGCCGAACCTCATGACGAAAGCCAACATCTCCGCATAAATGATGTCTTCGTGGGTCGCGTTGCGTTCGAGCTCGCTTTCAATGGTTTGCGCGATGAAAAGTTGAAAAGCACTAGAGTCTTGGATAGGGTATTTGAATTGGATAGGGTATTTGAATTGGCTCGTGCACATATACACGTGATATGACGGAGAATGCCGTGTGTATACAAAAATCGCATAGAATCAGCATTATATTACGTTCAGTTCATGCGTGAGGCTGTATATCGACAGAGAATGTATATTATCAAGTCCCCCTATAGTGTTGAGGTTCCACAAGTGCATAGAATACAAGAGAATGCCCCCCCACCCGTTTTTTGTATACACACGGCATTCTCCGTCATATCACGTGTATATGTGCACGAGCCAATTCAAATACCCTATCCAAGACTCTAGATAACAGGCCGGGTTTCAACTGTTCACGTCCGGCCCTGACAAGCTTTGGTCCAATCCAGTCAGCAACATAGTCCTGGAACTCTTGAAGGGTACGATTTTCGGCGCGTCCGCTGCTGACACAAGAGTCCAATACGTGATATAGCATTTGTCCTGAAAGGGTAGTTTCTACTTCGAGGCGGCGCTGCAGGGCCCTGAGAGCTAGGCTGATGGCAAGACGCCCCGGCGGCAACTCAGCTGTGTTGGGCTCCATGACCGGAAGACTTTAGAATCGGGCAGGTTAGCTACAGTTCTGGAAAATGAAAAATCTGATGACGCTCACCTCGACGGCAATCCACCGATGGCTTCCTAAGAATTTGCGCGCAATCCCAATCGTGTTGGTTGTTGATGTTGGAGAGTTGCCGGCAGAGCTGAGAGGAGACTCCGGTCGAAAGTGAGGTCTACAAACTCAGAAGTGGGGCCGTGCGTCTTAGGCGTGGCACACTTGGTTAAAAAGTGAGTTAAAGAAGAGGTCCCAAGCCAACCGCGCGCTTATATGCTAATGCAAGGCACAGACCTACGGCTCCTCCAGATAATCCCAAATGTCTTGAGGCATCCTTGAAAAGGCAGCAAAGTGAAGATCTGCTCGTGCTCTTGCACTAGAAGACTACCGCTCGGTACAAGTTTCTAATTGACCCCGATAAAAGATAAGGGAAGGTTCATGAAGTCCAACTAGACGCGTGATCATTCACTCGCAATATTTGTCAGGCACTAGATACACACAAGATGGAAATCGATATAGGCTTGAGAAGTTCTCAGATTGCTAATAGATATTTGCAGTATCGTCGCCTTCTAGAGTTCAAGATGAAGATGTACTGCCTTGAGGAAGATGCATATCTTCCTTCCTAATTGCATGAACCCGTCCGCGCTGTAGAAGGCCTAATGAGACCCCCGGTATTTTGCCAGAGAGCCTTATGATTTCCTGATTGTTGCAGTGATTAATGGAGAATGAAGGCATCGTCCACATCCGATCTGACATGGTCATCTCCTTCTGATCCCTCTCCTTCACACTCTTCATCCGTCTGCTATTCGATCTCATCCTGGTCATGGTTATCCGCGCGGCCTTCTTCCTCCTCCGCTTCCTCCTCATCAGCTTCATGCTCCCCGGCTTCCTTTCCCTCGACTTCCATGTTCCCTGCTGCCCTGTTCATTTTCATCTCAGCCGCTTTCAGCCTGTCGGGAGGCGCGTGGTGCATCTGGCTCCATGAACACTGGGGATAAATAGGGGAAGCGAGACCGCTGTACGTAGCGTATGAGTTCAAGAACTGTTGCTTATGATGTGTACCGCCGTGTATCGTTACGAATGCGAGGGCTTCGCCGAGGATGATGGGGGCGAACATCCCCACGCGATCGACCTCGTCCTCCAGCTTCTCCACAAACACGACCATCAGCTGGTTGAAGTCGCCCTGAATCTTCTGGTCTTCAAAACACCGTTTCTCGAGCGACCTAAGCTTAGCCCTCATCCATGCAATAGCGTATTCCATGAGCTGAAGTCGCTGCAGCACTCCCCGGCGGATATAATGACATGCTGCCGCTACCACGATGTAGAGCATTTGGTTTCTTGGAGCCGGGTTCTCGATAAGGCGTAGGCAGAGCTGTACGAGCTCTTCTGAACTCAGGTTGAAATTGATGTGAACTCTGATTTCTATAGATGTCTAGCTCGTTGTTTATATACTAGGGGAAGGAGGGGGCCACCCCCGGGGGCTTAACGTGGTAGATCTCTTGATGCGTTGCTGGTTACACCCTGTTACTTGATACAGTACTGATACCGTGCTGCAGCACTGCTGTTGCATTACCTGTTACTTCCTCCTGTATCAGCATGCCATCCTGATACGTTACTGGCATATGAGTTGCTGATCCTAGGTTGTAGTGCTGCAACCCGAGTTCTGAGCTATTTGTACTATCTCGAGCAGGCCCGCCCTCGCCATCCTGGCGGTTTATGTTGTATTTGACTTCGAATTGTCCTCCGAGTACGTTCCCCACAATGACCGTTCGCTCGTAATGCGTAGGCTGGGTACCATAGAAGGGGATCGGTGGTGTGCAGTTCATCCACACTGGGGGTTGGCGCGGCATGTTTGAGGTAGTGCTGCAGGATTGTCGAGTGAGAGCTCAAAGGGTAGAAATCTGGCAGCGTTTTGACTGATTGGCTACCTGATAGTGGGGCCACTCCTGACAGCGGCGTCAAGTGAATAAGAGTAACGCCTATGTAGTGGTATTGTCGTGCCCCCGAACTTATGACCTAGAAAGATGACTAAAACGTTGACGTGGTGGAAACCAGACTGCCTTTTAGCGGACAGTCACCTGCTAACTGGGCTGCTCCTCGCAGTGGTGCCGGGCAGCCAAGGGTGGAGTCTGGTTAGTGGGATCTCGGAGCAACCGAGGCTATGGCCAAGTACTGTACTTACAGGGCGAGGACCTTGGGAATACGCCGACATGTTCGGGCATCCTTTTGGAACACTCTGTAAGCTTACCGGACCACCTCACGCGACACGGTATACCAATTCTCAATGCCACAGCTCGCTGAAGATTGAGGAGGGTTCTGGGCGTTTCACCTGTCGTCGTTGATTTGCCATGAGCTTCATCCTTCCAGCTGAACTCTGTTCCACATGTCACATGTAGCACATGTGGCTCTTGACATTGCAGTTCTGAAAACGTCATACCTTCAGGAGGGTGAGCACGTCCTATGGCCATCGTAAACTGAAATTATGGAGCACCTTGATGATTTGAATCAATTCCACAAGTTTGATTCTGCACGTGTTTGAACATTTGGAGTATTGTAGCTCAGGGGGGCTCTGCATATCTTATCACTGTGATCAAGATCATTGCACAACGAGCATTATCTAGAGAACCTGGTAAATTGGAAGATTGAATCTTATCCGAAGTCCGTAAGTCCAATTCAACACATGTAGCTCTTGAAAGTGCCATTTTCGAATCACGCTACCCCATGGAGGCCCCGTATATCTTCTTGCCGCTGTCAAAATCGAAGGTGTGAACACTCGATTTGTGGCCTGTCGTAAAGTTCGTTCTACTAGCTGAACTCAGCTCCACGCGTCTAATTCAGCACGTATAGCCTTTGACATCCTAGTTTTCAGAAGATCATAGCCTCAGGGGTGTCTGGAAATCCTAACACAGTTTTCAATGTATATATACAGCTATTACGATCTGAGAAGCTTTGCAAATTGTACTGTCTGACCTTTTCCGATATCCGTAGGTTCATTTCAGCACGTGTAATCCTTGACATTGCACTTTTCATAACACCATGCCTCCAGGAGGATCTGCAGGGCCTATCACTGCTCTCGAAATGACTGTACACTGAGCATGATTGTTGATTCGTTAGAATATCCCGGTCTTTCATCCGTTCAAGTTCTGTAGGTCTAATTCAGCGCTTGCAGGATGTGACATTGTAGTGTTCAAAACACCATACATCTAGTAGTCCTTCAAAGTTATATCACCATTGTTAAATCGGACAGCAACATACTGTAAATATGATTCATTGTATTCCGAGCAGCCATCCTCTCTTTGATTCACGCTATCCTATAACTGGCCAGCCAATTCAGGGCGCCTTCTCTATGTCCAGAACCGAGCACTCCAAATCAGCTATCTACTCCTTGCATCCTTCCGGCTCGTCCTCATCCACATAATCCTCCAGGTCGTCGTAGTCCGTGAGCACATCATCCTCCGACTGGGCGTGATCTTGGACCCCATGCATCTCCTGCCACGAGCAGTCATCGAATGGCACCACGACCGGCAACCCCATGTACATCGCGTACAAATACATCGCGTTCTTCCGGTGATGCTCCCCACCGAAGCCTATCACGAACGTGACCATTTCCCCGAAAGCGAACACCGCGCCGTCCTTATGTTGCTCGTCGTCCAACTTCCGCACCAACGCCACCATCAACTTCGCGAACTTGTACCGGATTTCGTAGACGTAGTCTGCTTCGAGGCCGGTGCACATCGGGGGCAGCCACAGGTTGATGTAGTCGATGATCTCGTCGCACTCGTCCACTCCCTGCTGGCCGTAGACGCAGGCTGCGGAGATTAGGAGGTAGTACATCCAATTCCAGAGTTTGTCGGGATGGTTCATGATGCGGAGGGTGAGCTCGCTGAGGTCGGCGGAGATGTCGTCGAAGGTCTCTTCGCGGGGACGGTATGAGTAGGGACGGGCGGCGAGCATGACAGAGTCACCCTCGCCTGGGTAGTTGGTGCCTTGCGGGAGGGGCGGAGTGCTGCACATCCAGCGGGGTTGCTGCGGCGGCATGGTTGACGATGCTGCGGCGCTGTTGACTGAGGTTAGAAGGTGGTCTCTTGGGCAAATGAAGGGTCGGGCAAGCTCACCTTGACTGGAGTGGAGGAAATGGCTGCTGTGTCGGACCGGTGGAGCTGTCGTTACGATCCAGGTTGGCGGTGGGAGAGGGTTGTGAAGAATGGGGTTGTCGGGACGAAGATTCGAGTATGGAACTGAAGCAAAGAATAAGGCAGGAGGCTGGACGTGCGGGTCTCGCCGTAGTCCAAGCGATTGGGAGAGTGTGGTGGAAAGACTGTCTGCAGAGGATAGAAGTTTGATGGTGGATGGTAAAAACGGCGGATGCTATTCGTCCTGGAGTGAGAGGTAAAGGGAGGTGGTAGAAGTATGAAGGTGGAAGAGTTGCAGAATGGACCGACGAGAAAAATTGTACCTTAAAAGTCTGACATTCCCAGATCGTCCGTGTGAATAGGCGGGGGCTGGGGCTTGCGCGCTGCCCTATCGCGGTCTTTAGCGAGATGACATAAGCAGGTCACGTTCCGCTAATTCACCCCGGATTTTGCATGATAACATCCTCATACAGTACTAGGACACAAGCTTGGGCATGCCGTCCTTTTCGTCTCGTCCCGATTTATGGCGGGGTGCTGAAGCACCACAAACACCGGCAAAGTAGGCTGACTACTAGCGTGTGAACTCTCTGAGATTCATGCTCTAAGGGACTTTACGTCTTATAAAAACTTTGAGAGCGCGCCGAAGCATCTCCAACAGTGGTGAGAAAGTGTGCCTAGACTTTTTTCAACGCGCTATAGAGTCCTGCGACGTAAGTTTGGGCATTCCCACTTGCTATTGCTTGGGGTATTCCTATGGGTTTTGAAAACTCCGAACACGATGTCAATGATGATGCAGTGCAGATTGCATAGTCTTTTGACTGGCCGGCTACCTGCTAGCTGGGCTATTCGTCACAGTGGCGTCGAGCGAGCAAAAGCGAAGCCTCAGGCATGATACTTCCGAGTCCCCAAAACATATGGCCTAGTACTCAGTGTTTGGACACAAAGCTACGAACTATTGCTGCGACTGTTTGGGGTGCCTCTATTGTTTTTGAAACCTTCGAACGCAATGTAAAGGTAGATACAGCAGATAAAAGCTTGCCTTTTGAGTGGTTGACTACATGCTAGCCGGGCTACTCCTCACAGTGGTGTCGATCGATCAAGAATGGAGCCCGTGTAGAGTAGTATCTGTGTGCCGAAGAATGTCGCAACTGTACATGATGTTAAGGTCGGTGCAGTGGAAGTTGGACTGCCTCTTGACTTGCCAGCTGAGTACTGGCTGGGCTACTCCCTACAGTGGTATTACGTGAGCAACACTGAAGCCCGTGTAGTTCAATATTCGGGTATCTAGATTTATGATGTAGTACTATACAGTGCACAGAAAGGAGTTTGATCAATCTTGCTCTCCACTGCATTGGGCACGCCCTTCGGCTTTTGGTAGTTCAATTACTAATTACAACGTGGTGGCCTATGCATTAAAAACAAGAAGTCTCGCATTCACGTAACCTACAAACCCTCAACGAACGGCGCATCCGGATGGTGAGACATATCAAAGATATCATCCCCATCCGCCGAAGGAATCCCATGCCAAATCCTGAAGAGCTTCAGAGCCTCATACTTCTGCCAGTCCGCACCAAACCTCATGACGAACATCAATACCTCGCCATATACAGTACTTTTTTGTAAAGGCGCCAGCGTCACCTCTCGCTCCAGAACCATCATTAAAGCAAGCCGCAGTTTGTTGATGCCGATGACGGTGCTCTGGGACGGGAGTTTTCGAGTGACGAGCATGTGACGGAGTTCGGCTTCGACGACGACGCTCTCCTGGGGTCTGCTGATGGTGTATTCGAAGGCGCAATCGGCCATTAGGTTGAATAAGCGGTTCTGAAGGCTCCAGTTCTTATGCCAGAACCCCTGAAGCTGGCTGAGGGTATCGCAAGGTTCTGCATCATTCACGACGTGGAGTATATTTTGGAGGCTGATTGGACGGACGTCCGACGGATGGTTGGCGGCTGGGACTGGAATCGGCAGTTCACTGTTGACATGGACCCGTGACTGACGTCGCATCATCTCCTCGGGAGTAAGAAGATCATCTAGAACACCGGGTATCAAATCTTCCTCATTAGGGAAGCTATCCTCCCTGTCCAAATCCTCGGATTTTCCGCGAGTTGAGGCAGGTTTTGGCGTAGCAGCCGCAAAATGGTGCTGGCGAATGCCGTCGAGGGATCTGACTTTCTTGCCGTAAAGGCCGTGAATGTAGTATGCTGGCTGTTCCCATATCTGCTAGAATTGGTGTTGACAGGTTCTTTGACATTTCATGTGTTTTGATACTGTTGTTTGTAGTCTCACCTGCTGTGGCGGCTGCGAATCTCCAACGGTTCGAAGCCTAGAATTGCCGCACTTCTGGTGGTTTTGAGAGTACATATCAGGAATGCTGGACGTTGAGGGTCTTCGATGTTGTGGTGCGGAGGTGCGGAGGTGTGGGTTGAGAGGTCGGAGTGTTTGTTTACGCATCAGATGGGCAGTAGACGCGCGGGAGGCGCCAAGACATCTGCATGATCATTCCAATACAAATGCACACACATATCAGCCACCGTGCGAAGCGGTGGCTGGTGAGTATACTGATGGTACGAAAAGACCGACCTTGAAGGCTCCCAAAAATCATTGAGATACTGAAAGTAATGGTAAAAGGGCACACGCAGATCTGTAATCAGGGAACAACATATACAGCATATAGAGTGTTTTGGTCCTGAATACTTTAAAAAGGTTACTGCCATGAGCCTGCACCCAAGCCACCTCCATGGCTCCTTATGCTAGACTGATCTGAAGCAGACTGATTTTCATCACTGCTTTAGAGCCCCACTTCCGCTATCCCCAGAAGATTCCTTGAAGCCTGTCTCTTGTAGATTGAGTGCGCAGTTTCCCGTACCAGCCTCGCCTCCACGGCCTTCACTGCCTTCGCCCTCGGTACCCTCCTCGCGAGACCACGCGCGTACGTTCCCGCAGATGGTGTTGATGCCGTTATACTTCCGGTACGCATTCATGAAGTTGTGCTTGTGCCAGTAGGCGCCGAACTTCATAACGAAGACAAGCATCTCGCCGAATACTACTGTCTCATCCTCGTCGTCCTCCAGCTTTGTGTGCACTGCAACCAGGAGGTCGTTGAAATCGTTGATGGCAGCGAAGTAGGTGAGTTCGATTGCGCTTAGCTTGGGAAGCATCCATTTCGCGATATATGTCTGGACCTCAACAAATTTGATCGTGTCTCGGGTGCTAGTAAAGTCGAATGCCGTGGACAGCATCAAGTACGACATGTAGCTCTCGGGGGTATCTTCTGCTACGAGGCGATTGAGGACACCTTTGATCGACTCGCCGTTGGTGGTCAGAGTGGCGAGAGGAAGCTCGGTACTGTCTGCGCTTCGAAATATACTATTGAACAGATTGTCGATGCCTGTTTCCCGTACAAGGGTGTTGGAGATAGGCTGAATCGCTGGACTGCGCTGCATGATTTTTGGTAGCTGGGTCTGCCCGTCCATCTTGAAGCTGCTTCTTTTGTTCAAGATTCGAAATTAGCATCTGCTCCCTTGAGAAAAGCGCGAAGAGCTTACCGTTGCGCAATCTGGAAGGATGGTGTTGAAGAAGTGTGACGCTGTTGGAGCTCCTGTTGTTAGCGGTCAGGCTCAAGGCAGTAGGTTTTGCGGAGATCACGAGATCTGCTCTTCACCATTTTCCTTCCCGCCTACCTGACTGCACTGACCACATAGCTCCACCTCTGACTCGAGTTTCATTGCGTCCTGCCTCATTTGCGACCAACCTCTTTCCAACCTCATCTCACCACGTCCGCCTCACCAAGAGGAGTTGCAACGTCCAGCACACTTCAACCCGATGGACTCTGGAGGACTGGGCGACGGAGCAATTGGGGGAGAAGAAGACGAAACCCAACATGAAGCGCCAACAGATCCGCAGCCGGAACCAAACTCCTACTACTACAGACTACACGTCATTGCAGAAGATCAGGCTGAATTCTACGCCTTTTTCTAACAGCAACGATAGAGTCGACTAAAACACAGACCTTCGATGGAACACCTCGGACAACCTCACCGTAGATACTGCCCGCCGCGCAGAGAGCTTCCAGAATGTGGCAGCTGGATGCACCCCCTAGTGCGTAAGAACTAGTGTATTTGATACTGTACTAGAAC